AGCACCCTGCCAACCGAGGTAGACAATCCCCTTGACTACTGGGCAAACGAAACTTGACCTTTGGCCCCAACTAGCTGAATTTGCCCTTGAAAGGCTGTCATGCCCGGCCAGTAGCGTGGCATCGGAGCGCGTGTTTTAGTGCGGCAGGAGGTATTGTAACTCCGCGGAGGACACGACTGTCCACCCAAAGTGTGGAGAGACTCACGTTTGTGAAAATGAATCAGGCGTGGATTAGTCTGGATTTCAAACCACCAGTTCCTGACACAACTGACTAAATCCGCCATGAATCATGCCCCAAACATGTGCCACTTTCAGGTCTCCTCACACTGCTGGTGTGTTCCATTTTGTCATAGGTGCTGGCAGATTACGGGCCTCCCATTGCTGCTGCCAGGCCCGTAATCTGCCATGGGCCCCTGTACCGCCTCCTCATGCTGCTGCCAGGTCCAGAGTGTCTCATGGGTCCCTGTACGGCCTCCCATTGCTGCTGTCTCCATCGCCACACTCTGCCATGTGCCACTTTCAGGTCTCCTCACACTGCTGGTGTGTTCCATTTTGTCATAGGGTGCTGGCAGATTACGGGCCTCCCATTGCTGCTGCCAGGCCCCTGTAATCTGCCATGGGCCCCTGTACCGCCTCCTCATGCTGCTGCCAGGTCCAGAGTGTCTCATGGGTCCCTGTACGGCCTCCCATTGCTGCTGTCTCCATCGCCACACTCTGCCATGTGCCACTTTCAGGTCTCCTCACACTGCTGGTGTGTTCCCATTTTGTCATAGGGTGCTGGCAGATTACGGGCCTCCCATTGCTGCTGCCAGGCCCGTAATCTGCCATGGGCCCCTGTACCGCCTCCTCATGCTGCTGCCAGGTCCAGAGTCTCTCATGGGTCCCTGTACGGCCTCCCATTGCTGCTGTCTCCATCGCCACACTCTGCCATGTGCCACTTTCAGGTCTCCTCACACTGCTGGTGTGTCCATTTTGTCATAGGGTGCTGGCAGATTACGGGCCTCCCATTGCTGCTGCCAGGCCCGTAATCTGCCATGGGCCCCTGTACCGCCTCCTCATGCTGCTGCCAGGTCCAGAGTCTCTCATGGGTCCCTGTACGGCCTCCCATTGCTGCTGTCTCCATCGCCACACTCTGCCATGTGCCACTTTCAGGTCTCCTCACACTGCTGGTGTGTTCCATTTTGTCATAGGGTGCTGGCAGATTACGGGCCTCCCATTGCTGCTGCCAGGCCCGTAATCTGCCATGGGCCCCTGTACCGCCTCCTCATGCTGCTGCCAGGTCCACAGAGTCTCTCATGGGTCCCTGTACGGCCTCCCATTGCTGCTGTCTCCATCGCCACACTCTGCCATGTGCCACTTTCAGGTCTCCTCACACTGCTGGTGTGTTCCATTTTGTCATAGGGTGCTGGCAGATTACGGGCCTCCCATTGCTGCTGCCAGGCCCGTAATCTGCCATGGGCCCCTGTACCGCCTCCTCATGCTGCTGCCAGGTCCAGAGTGTCTCATGGGTCCCTGTACGGCCTCCCATTGCTGCTGTCTCCATCGCCACACTCTGCCATGTGCCACTTTCAGGTCTCCTCACACTGCTGGTGTGTTCCATTTTGTCATAGGGTGCTGGCAGATTACGGGCCTCCCATTGCTGCTGCCAGGCCCGTAATCTGCCATGGGCCCCCGTACCGCCTCCTCATGCTGCTGCCAGGTCCAGAGTGTCTCATGGGTCCCTGTACGGCCTCCCATTGCTGCTGTCTCCATCGCCACACTCTGCCATGTGCCACTTTCAGGTCTCCTCACACTGCTGGTGTGTTCCATTTTGTCATAGGGTGCTGGCAGATTACGGGCCTCCCATTGCTGCTGCCAGGCCCGTAATCTGCCATGGGCCCCCGTACCGCCTCCTCATGCTGCTGCCAGGTCCAGAGTGTTCTCATGGGTCCCTGTACGGCCTCCCATTGCTGCTGTCTCCATCGCCACACTCTGCCATGTGCCACTTTCAGGTCTCCTCACACTGCTGGTGTGTTCCATTTTGTCATAGGGTGCTGGCAGATTACGGGCCTCCCATTGCTGCTGCCAGGCCCGTAATCTGCCATGGGCCCCCCGTACCGCCTCCTCATGCTGCTGCCAGGTCCAGAGTGTCTCATGGGTCCCTGTACGGCCTCCCATTGCTGCTGTCTCCATCGCCACACTCTGCCATGTGCCACTTTCAGGTCTCCTCACACTGCTGGTGTGTTCCATTTTGTCATAGGGTGCTGGCAGATTACGGGCCTCCCATTGCTGCTGCCAGGCCCGTAATCTGCCATGGGCCCCCGTACCGCCTCCTCATGCTGCTGCCAGGTCCAGAGTGTCTCATGGGTCCCTGTACGGCCTCCCATTGCTGCTGTCTCCATCGCCACACTCTGCCATGTGCCACTTTCAGGTCTCCTCACACTGCTGGTGTGTTCCATTTTGTCATAGGGTGCTGGCAGATTACGGGCCTCCCATTGCTGCTGCCAGGCCCGTAATCTGCCATGGGCCCCCGTACCGCCTCCTCATGCTGCTGCTGCCAGGTCCAGAGTCTCTCATGGGTCCCTGTACGGCCTCCCATTGCTGCTGTCTCCATCGCCACACTCTGCCATGTGCCACTTTCAGGTCTCCTCACACTGCTGGTGTGTTCCATTTTGTCATAGGGTGCTGGCAGATTACGGGCCTCCCATTGCTGCTGCCAGGCCCGTAATCTGCCATGGGCCCCCGTACCGCCTCCTCATGCTGCTGCCAGGTCCAGAGTCTCTCATGGGTCCCTGTACGGCCTCCCATTGCTGCTGTCTCCATCGCCACACTCTGCCATGTGCCACTTTCAGGTCTCCTCACACTGCTGGTGTGTTTCCATTTTGTCATAGGGTGCTGGCAGATTACGGGCCTCCCATTGCTGCTGCCAGGCCCGTAATCTGCCATGGGCCCCCGTACCGCCTCCTCATGCTGCTGCCAGGTCCAGAGTCTCTCATGGGTCCCTGTACGGCCTCCCATTGCTGCTGTCTCCATCGCCACACTCTGCCATGTGCCACTTTCAGGTCTCCTCACACTGCTGGTGGGTTCCATTTTGTCATAGGGTGCTGGCAGATTACGGGCCTCCCATTGCTGCTGCCAGGCCCGTAATCTGCCATGGGCCCCCGTACCGCCTCCTCATGCTGCTGCCAGGTCCAGTAATCTGTCATGGGCCCCTGTACGGCCTCCCATTGCTGCTGCCAGGTCTGTGTCCCCTGTACGCTTCCCATTGCTGCTGTCTCCATCGCCACACTCTGCCATGTGCCACTTTCAGGTCTCCTCACACTGCTGGTGGTTCCATTTTTTCATAGGGTGCTGGCAGATTACGGGCCTCCCATTGCTGCTGCCAGGCCCGTAATCTGCCATGGGCCCCCGTACCGACTCCTCATGCTGTGACGTTGCAACAAGGTGGAATTCAACCCTACATATGTTAACCGCCTTTACGAACAGCGAAAGGCCATCACCGATTTCCTGATGTTACAAGCGGATAAAGGTACTCCCCTGTGTAACTTAGATGTCAGCCATTGGCAGCTCATGCGTGACACCTGCCGCTTGCTCAGGCCCTTTGAGGAGGCCACGCTATTCGTGAGTCGGCAGGACTATGGGATGAACGACGTCATTCCTCTGTTGCACGTCCTGGAACAAATGCTGTTAACAATGGCTGGTCAGGGTGCGGTAGACGTGGCGCACAGATCTCAACGCCACATGACCCCTGTGGGGGCAGGACAGGAAGAAGAGGAGGAGGTAGAGGAGGACATTGGTGCTCAGGAATTATTGAGTGAAATGGGTGGTTTTTCCACTCAGCGGACAGGAGTGGAGGAGCAGGAGCATCTGGTAGAGGAGGAGGAGGAGGAGACAGAGGACCCAGACGCACCGTGGCAGTATGCTGTGGAGATGGAGGCAGGGAGTCCCTCGCATTCCTTGGCACAAATGGCCCATAGCATGCTCGGTTGCTTGCGTAGCGACAGCCGAATAATAACCATCAGACAGAGGGATGACTTTTGGCTGTCCACCTTGTTGGACCCTCGCTACCGTTCAAAAATGGTGGCCTTTTTCACACCTGCTGAGAGGGAGGCCCAAATAAAGTACTATAAAAACCACCTATGTAGTCAGTTGGTCTCTGCCTTTCTGCGCCAACGTCCATCCTCAGACACTGTGGGCCCTGTGCGCTCGCGTTCCGCTGCCATGGCAGCAGGGGAGGGGTGGGGTGGTAGGAGCCAGTGGCAGCTCCACCAGCAGCGGCTGCCTCAGTCTGCAGTCGATGATGAGTAGCTTTCTTCACCAGCGCAGTGAGGAAACTACTGACCAGCCGCAGCAGCATCAGGTGGACCTGGAGCAGGACCTCAAACAACAGGCTTGGGCCTACTTGGACAGCACCCTGCCAACCGAGGTAGACAATCCCCTTGACTATTGGGCAACGAAACTTGACCTTTGGCCCCAACTAGCTGAATTTGCCCTTGAAAGGCTGTCATGCCGGCCAGTAGCGTGGCATCGGAGCGCGTGTTTAGTGCGGCAGGAGGTATTGTAACTCCGCGGAGGACACGACTGTCCACCCAAAGTGTGGAGAGACTCACGTTTGTGAAAATGAATCAGGCGTGGATTAGTCTGGATTTCAAACCACCAGTTCCTGACACAACTGACTAAATCCGCCATGAATCATGCCCCAAACATGTGCCACTTTCAGGTCTCCTCACACTGCTGGTGGGTTCCATTTTGTCATAGGGTGCTGGCAGATTACGGGCCTCCCATTGCTGCTGCCAGGCCCGTAATCTGCCATGGGCCCCTGTACCGCCTCCCTCATTCTGCTGCCAGGTCCAGAGTGTGTCATGGGTCCCTGTACGGCCTCCCATTGCTGCTGTCTCCATCGCCACACTCTGCCATGTGCCACTTTCAGGTCTCCTCACACTGCTGGTGGGTTCCATTTTGTCATAGGGTGCTGGCAGATTACGGGCCTCCCATTGCTGCTGCCAGGCCCGTAATCTGCCATGGGCCCCTGTACCGCCTCCTCATGCTGCTGCCAGGTCCAGAGTGTCTCATGGGTCCCTGTACGGCCTCCCATTGCTGCTGTCTCCATCGCCACACTCTGCCATGTGCCACTTTCAGGTCTCCTCACACTGCTGGTGTGTTCCATTTTGTCATAGGGTGCTGGCAGATTATGGGCCTCCCATTGCTGCTGCCAGGCCCGTAATCTGCCATGGGCCCCCGTACCGCCTCCTCATGCTGCTGCCAGGTTCAGAGTGTCTCATGGGTCCCTGTACGGCCTCCCATTGCTGCTGTCTCCATCGCCACACTCTGCCATGTGCCACTTTCAGGTCTCCTCACACTGCTGGTGGGTTCCATTTTGTCATAGGGTGCTGTATGGCCTCCCATTGCTGCTGCCAGGCCCGTAATCTGCCATGGGCCCCCGTACCGACTCCTCATGCTGCTGCCAGGCCCGTAATCTGTCATGGGCCCCTGTACCGCCTCCTCATGCTGCTGCCAGGTCCAGAGTGTGTCATGGGTCCCTGTACGGCCTCCCATTGCTGCTGTCTCCATCGCCACACTCTGCCATGTGCCACTTTCAGGTCTCCTCACACTGCTGGTGGGTTCCATTTTTGTCATAGGGTGCTGTATGGCCTCCCATTGCTGCTGCCTCCACCGCCACACTGTGGCTCCACACTCTGGTTTTGGCCCCGTGACTGCCCAAATGAGTGAAGTGTGCGGTGATTCTAAGATCGACGGCACTCATCTGCATGTCATACTGACTGACAGTATTATTTCTCTTCCCCAGCAGACTCCAAGGGCATTTAAATTAAAGGTACAGTGTTCTGCACTAATATAAAGGCTCTCTGAAGCCTAGAAACACCTTTTATAAGTTAAATTCGCAGCGAATATATTCGCCTCGAATCGAATTTATTCCTCGAATTCGCCGAATCAGCCAAATCAAATTTTTGAATACTTCGCTCATCTCTAGCTGTCTTCTGTCCCATGCGGAGTGATACCAACTGCACTCTACTTCTTATCCTGGCTAGCGGTGTCCAGAGTGGTGCCAGTAGCAGGAAAGAAGAGATCTCCAGGTCAGTGTGAAGCAATACACTGGGCATAATAGTATAGGGATGCTTTCACACTGATGTGCTGCTGTTTACCCACACGCTGCGGATGCAGTGCAGTGTAGCTGCAGCTTTCCTGCGGGTTTGCTGCATTTAGCCATAGACTTCTATTATATCTTGCGGTTTGGTGCACTTTCTGAAAAAAGCTCCAGGCGTTTTGGTGTGGTTTCAGAAAGTTCACCACACCTGCAGGATATAATAGAAGTGTATGGCAAAGTGTAGCTAACCCAGGAAAGTCGCAGATGCACTACGCTGTACCCACGTTGCAGGTAAACCGCAGCACATCAGTGTGAAAGCAGCTGTACAGGGGGCTCAGAACAGTAAGGGTTCATTTACATTTACAGTTTGGGGTGTGGCAAAACACCATAGTTAAGGCGTGTTTTTACCACCCCTGCATCAACTGCAACCTCTTTAGCTGCAGTGTCCAGGAGTGTACACATGTCGCAGCCGCAGCAGAAGTTGTACGCTCTGCCATGGTTGGTGCGTGTAGCACCTGCAAACCATGACCCATTGAAGTGAATGAGGCCACTCTGCAAGTGCCATGCAACCTTATGCAGTACAGCAAACAAGGGGTTAAAGCAGGCAGCATCGTGTTGCTTTCTCACCACCTTCTTTAACCGCTTGGACCCGGCAGAAGCGTGCAGTTGCAGGGCGCTTGCAGAATGGCCCCATTTACTTGCATGGGTCACGATTGGCAGGTGGTAGCACCCAACAAAAGCAACAGGGGGTTTAATTCCTGTTGCGGCATGTGTACACCTTTGGCTGCTGCCTCAGCAGCTAAAGGGGGTAGCAATTAAGGGTAGCAAAATCGCGACGCAACTGCTGGGTTTTACCACCACACCAGGCACTGCTGCTGCTCCTCTGAAAAGCAATCGGAGTGTGTTTGACAGGTGGTGAGGAGGAGACATGTTGCTGCCTCACAACTTGAAACCCATGATTGCTGTTCACTGCATGAAATTCATTGCAACATGGTATTATGGCAATTAGAGGTTTAAATCAGGTGTGAGGAGGTGACACTGGGCAACACTGTGGCTGGTGGTCTTTGACTTTTCCCATGTTGTTCGGGTAGATCTCCACCACTTTAAGGTTGCCTACTCCTATTTTACATGAAGCAACAGCCTACAGGTAATGTGTAAGGGCAGGTGAGTGCTACACCCTGCATGTTCCCCTCTTGGGTGCCAAGTGTGGGTTACATGAGAGGCCTACCCCAGGGTGGGTTCTTCTGAGCTATGCTAGGCACCTGTAACAGGATCACTCTACTTAACATATTGGGTACCTTTACTCTGTGTTGATTTCATCAGTGCCCTGGGACAAGGCTGAGACCGCCGTGGGGGAATACTCAACTTTAAGGTGGGCATCCACTCTTAGAGATTAATGTACATCGTGTGCACTTGCACAATAACTGTCCTCCAGTTAACTCTTGGGTCCCTGTGCAGAGGTACTCCTTCACTGATGACTTGCAATTATAAGGCCCATGCGTAGCCTTGTCCACATCACCTGTTTTCCACTACTTATCCTAGCATAACAAGCCCCTTTGTGCATTTAGCGCAGGCTCCTTATGTGCACCTAACTTACACCTTCAGCTTCCGTACCTCTGTACAGATGGGGAACTTGGCAGTGCCGGTCCGCTCCTGTTGCTTTTGTAGACAAACCTCTGGCGGAAGGAATGCAGACAACATCTCCCTCTCTGTTGGAGGCCGTTCCACCTGTAACAGGTACATGCTAAGGACAGGCTGCTTGACTGACTGTTGTCTTCTGTTACCCTTGGTAACCACTTGGCTAATTTCACACCAGGATGATTCTTAGTGTTGTCTCTTCATACCCCAATGTGTATAGTGGCCCAAAACCATAAACCAAGTGTAAAATGTGCCAGATACTTGCATTGCATTCCTATAATAACTTCAGACCAGGCTGAAGGCAAAGTACTTAGAAAAGTGAAAAAAACATTTCTTCCCTTAATTCCTAAACCCCAACTCAGCCTTGTGTGCTGCCTCAGCAAACCTGTCAAGGTATAGTCCATCAAAGATAAAGTCCATGGTTATCGGCAATGTCTAGCACCTGGTGTCTTCAGGGTCAATCCCCAGGTTCCTAAATCTCAGCTGAAAGTTGTAAGGCAGAAACAGTACAAGAAAACAGAGCCCCTCTCTGAATCACTGATATCACCTTATATACTTCCAGAATCAGTGGGTTGGACCCAAAACGCCAAGAGGAAAACCCAGGAATTAACATTAACCTTATCCCTCCCTTTTGGGGCTGTATCTAGCTAGCTGGGTTGCAACATGCTTACAATAAATACACACCATTACACACAACTAATGTGCTTGGTGCCATATCCCCCAAAAAAATACTAAACAAGTTTGGTTTGTGCTGTCATAGTGTAGTTTGCTAAATGCAAGATGGAGATCTTTCTTTCTGCAATCCATTTGTAGGTATGACAAACATACAGTCATGGCCGAAATTGTTGGCACCCTTGATATTTCTCCAGGAAATCATGTATTTCTCACGAAACGTATTGCATTAACACATGTTTTGCTATACACATGTTTATTCCCTTTGTGTGTATTGGGACAAAACAAAAAAAGGGAGGAAAGAAAGCAAATTCGACATAATGTCACACAAACCTCCAAAAATGGGCTGGACAAAAGTATTGGCACCCTTTCACAACTGCGGATAAATAAGAATGTTACAAGCATGTGATGCTCCTGTAAACTCACCTGGGGCAAGTAACAGGTGTGGGCAATATAGAAATCACACCTGAAAGCAGATAAAAAGGAGAGAGACGTTCACTTAACCTTTGCATTGTGTGTCAGCTGTCTGTGCCACACTAAGCATGGACAACAGAAAGAGGAGACGAGAAACTGTCGTGAGGACCTGAGAAACCAAAATGTGGCAAAATATCAACAATCTCAAGGTTAACAAGTCCATCTCCAGAGAACTAGATTTGCCTTTGTCCACAGTGCGCAACATTATCAAGAAGTTTGCAACCCATGGCACTGTAGCTAATCTCCCTGGTAACGTGGACGGATGAGGAAAATTGATGAAAGATTGCAACGCAGAATAGTCCGGGCATGGTGGATAAGCACCCCCCAAACATGTTCCAAAGACATTCAAGCTGTCCTGCAGGCTCATGGGAGCACCAGTTGTCAGCTGCGAAGCTAAAGGGTCGACAATTAAATGAAATGAAACGCAATGGCAGGAGACCACACCAGGACCCCACTGCTGACAAGCAATCGAGTTTGACAGGTAAAAAAGCAAGACTACAGTTTTGCCAACAACTGTAACCCATGAGTAAGCCAAAAGCCTTCTGGGCAAAACGTTTTGTGGACAGATGAGACAAAGATAGAGCTTTTCGTTGTAAAGCACATCATTCCTACTATTTTACCGCAAAACAGGAATGTGTAGGGCCTACAAAGAACAAAACACAGTACCTACGGTAAAATATGGTGGAGGGATTCAAACATGATGTTAACTTGGTTGATTTGCAGTGCCTCTGGGACAAGGCTGGGTGCCTTGACTGTGTCAACTTTAAGGTGGGCATCAAGGCACATGAAATTAATGAGTGTGCACTTACCAAAGGATTTTTGGGTCGCACTGTAGGGGTACCCAGTGTCAGATAAGGCCCATGCGTTTGCGTCCAAGATCCTGGGTCTTCCTAGCAGCCCCTTTGTGCAATGACCCTTAACATACTTCAAAAAGCACTCAGAAATGGGGAACTGGCAAAGAAGGTCCGCTGGAGTTCTTTTGAACAAACCTGGCCAGCAATGAGCCCAATCTAAATCTCCATTGAAGGCCGTCCTGTGGAGAGATCTTAAAATTGCTGTTGGGAAAAGGTCTTCTGTTACCTTGGTAACCTTGGCAATACAGAGACCTTAGAGCTGTTTTCATAAGGAAGAGTGGCCCAAAATTCCGGGTGAGAGTGCCAGATAGCTTGCATTGATTCCTTATAGGAAGGCGTAAGGCAAAAGTGATTTCAGTTAAAAAAACATTTTTCCAAAGCCTTGGTGCTGCAAAACAAGGTATAGTACATCAAAGATTAAAGTCCATGTTATCGGCAATGTCTAGCACTTTTGTCCAGGGTCCCCCAGGTTTAAATCTCAGCTGAAAGTTTTGTGGCAGAAACATTACAAGAAAACATAGCCCCTTCTGCCTCACTGTTTTATATATTTGTTGGACCCAAAACGCCACATACAAAACCCAGGAATTAACATTAACCTTATCCCTCCCTTTTGGGGCTGTATCTAGCAAAACATTGCAAACATGTTACAATAATGCAATTACCACAACTTGTGCTTGGTGCCATATGAAAAACTAAACAAGTTTGGTTTTCTGTCAGTGAAAAATGCTAAATGCAAGATGGTGCTTTCTGCAACCATTTGTAGGCCATGACAAACATATTTATGCAAGCATACAATAAAATTCTTTAGAATTTATTCCCTAAAGAAATAATCTCCTTTAACAGTGTTGTCAAGTTCCGTCGGACTGGGGAAAGTGCCAGATCAGAAGAGGATAATATATCAGGGGAACATGAGATACAGATTGGACGTGTCCACACAGATTTGGAAGCAGTGGAGCTGGAAGATGGAACAATGGTGCCAAAGGAGTTTGCAAACCCAACTGATGGTAAGAATTCTTACACAGCACATAGCAATAATAAAGACTTTCTGAAATGTAAGTTTTTGTTTGCAGACAAACCAGTTAATTTGAAAGTCATGGTCCTATAAGTATTGATAAACACTGCAGATATCAGTATTTGCACAATTGCATTTAATAGATTTCACTTTTTCCTTCATATTGGAGATCACTTTTTTATATTGTGTGGCAGTAAAATATAACTCAAGGCCATGTCATACTGAAGATTCTGCTGCTGGTGAGCTGTCACCAAAGTGTATTGCCATTTCTCTATGGATGTAATTTTCTCTCTGCCCGAAACACTGCAGAATCATGAATGCTTGGGAGAATGAGATGATGAGCTTACTCTTAGCGAATTTATTGCTGGTACCTAGCTAGTGTGACATGGCCACAGCTAGACTCCATGCAGTCATAGTAGTGAACTACAGCGATTATGATAGCTTTGGGAATTGGCCACTAAGAAAAACAATGAGGAAGTTATTCCCCAGCTACCAAAGATTGACTCTTTGGATGTAGTGCAATGTAATATTTAAAGTGATAAACAAAACACAGAATTATGGATGAAGTAATGAGTTTGAACAAACTAGGAATTGTTACATAGCTGTGGCATCTGAATTCATTGTCATTTGTTATTTTCTTAAAGATACCTTTATGGTGGAAGATGCTGTGGAAGCTATTGGCTTTGGAAAATTCCAATGGAAACTCTCAATCCTTACTGGTCTGGCCTGGGCAAGTAACAATAAATAAAAGTTAAAATGTTGGTCTGTGCAATGTTCATGCTACATTTTTGTTTTATATTTCTGTTGTGTTGGTGTTGAGGTTTTTGTACTGAGCTCTGTGGGTTTAGTCAGTAAAAGAATGCAAAGAGAAAAGACTGTGACGTGATATGTGAAGGCCAGTAAGCTATAGCAATCAATCTCAGCATATCTGTTATCTGGTCAACATTGCCTGGTAATTGACAGCTAATTGCATTGACAGAAAATGGAAAACCTCCACATCTGCTCTTATTGCTGTTCTGAGCCCCTGTCAGTCAGTTATTTTCACCAACTGACAACACACTGGGGCTGTGGCAAAATCTAGCCAAACCACATGTCGTGTTTTTAATTATGTCAGTGTCTCATGAGGGAAATTAAGATTTTCTTTACAGTTCCTGGTAACTGCTGTCATTTCTGGATAGAAAGTGAGGTAAATCCAAAAGTTTAGTTGTCACCAGAATAGGGGATATGAGGGGACCTGTTCTGTTGACAACCATCTAAAAGGGGATTTACTTCTTTTCTGAGAGATTGCCGCTCATTTCCTATTGTCTACAGGATAGGATGTGAACTGAAATCTGCTACATAGGACACAGATGGCAGAAAAACTTGACAAGGTTTAACTATTACCTAATGTATCCAAAATGAAACAAAAGTATTGACTATATACAGTATCTACTTTAAGATTCTCAACATGTGGTAATACTCCTCAAGCACCTTACATACTGTACAATCACCAGCAATTTTATTAGGTACACCTTGCTTGTGCCATGAAAATATCTCCCACACCATTACACCACCACCAGCAGCCTGAACCATTGATACAAGGCAGGATGGATCCATGCTTTCATGTTGTTTACACCAAATTCTGACCCTACCATCTGAATGTCACAGCAATCAGTCTGCCTATTCTCCTCTGACATGAACAAGGCATGTTGATCTGCACAACTGCTGCTCACTGGATATTTTCTCTTTTTCAGACCATTCTCTATAAACACTTGAGATGGTTGTGTGTGAAAATCCCAGCAGACCAGCAGTTTTTGAAATACTCAGACCAGCCTGTCTGGCCCCAACAACCATGCAAGTTCAAAGTCACTTAGATCCCCTTCTTCCCCATTCTGATGCTCCGTTTGAACTTCAGCAAGTCGTCTTCACCACGTCTACATGCCTAAAGTTATTGCCATGTGATTGGCTGATTAGCAATTTGTGTTACCAAGCAATTGATCAGATGTACCTAATAAAGTGGGCGGTGAGTGTCGTGTCATAGTTAGTAAGACTGAATAAAGACACCAGTCCATCCAGTTCAACCTCAGAGTGTTGTTGATGGTGCTACCAATTTCCATATACTTGTTCATTGTGTTTTTTGAAAAACACAGTTTTTGAATATTTGTACACTCCCTGCTGCAACAACTAACTGTGGAAGGAAGTTCCATATCTTTACCCCTTACACAATTTAAGCTTCAACCTTGTTTAACTTCGATGTGTGGCTGCGTGTCTTCTTCAATCTTAGACTAAATACTTTTCACTTAATGATACAGTCACCATTTAAAGATGTGTGTATTGCAGCCATATAACCTTTTAAGCGCCTCTTCTCCAGTGAGGAAAGGTGGAAGTAAAGTCCACTTTTTACCTTGTACCTACAGGTAAGCCTATAATAAGGCTTACCTGTAGGTACAATGAATATCTCCTAAACTTGCACTGTTTAGGAGATATTCACACAGCATGCAGTCGGTCACGTCATCGTCGCATGCACTCTGAAGGGACAGTATACCCATGCCATACCTTCAGAGCACTGCACCGAGGCCATCATCGTTCATAGAGCCAGAATCCATGAACCCAGAAGGAAGACTTGGTGAAGGTGGATGCACCCAGAAGCAGTGACAGCGCTGCATTGGAGAGCTTCATGTCCAGATAAGTCTGTCATAATGTGCTAGTACACAGTACATACATACTAGTACATTATGACTAAAAACTGCAGGAGCCATATTTTTCCATGGCGGTTCACTACCGCTTTAATGTTGATAGTTGTTCCTCATAATTAAAGCCCTCCAACCCTCATATTAGTTTTGTTTCCCTTCTCTGGACTTTCTCCAGTTCAAGAGATTGGTGACCAAAACTGGACTGCATACTCAAGATGAGACCAAATGAGAGTTTTGTAATGTGATAGAATTATAGTGCACACTTCATATGATATATACAATGAAACTCAAAAAATTAGAATATAATGCAAACGTTCATTTATTCCAGTAATGCAACTTAAAAGGTGAAACTAATATATGAGATAGACTCATTACATTCAAAGCAAGATAGTTCAAGCCGTGATTTGTCATAATTGTAATGATTATGGCTTAAAGCTCATGAAAACCCCAAATCCACAATCTCAGAAAATGAGAATATTGTGAAAAGGTGCAATATTCTAGGCTCAAAGTGTCCCACTTTAATCAGCTAATTAAGCCATAACACTTGCAAAGGGCTCCTGAGCCTTTAAATGGTCTCTCAGTCTGGTTTAGTAGCAATCACAATCATGGGAAAGACTGCTGACCTGACAGTTGTGCAGAAAACCATCATTGACACCCTCTATAAAGAGGGAAAGCCTCAAAAGGTAATTGCAAAAGAAGTTGGATGTTCCCAAAGTGCTGTATCAAAGCATATTAATAGAAAGTTATGTGGAAGGGAAAAGTGTGGCAGAAAAAGGTGCAAAAGCAGCAGGGATGACCGCAGCCTGGAGAGGATTGTCAGGAAAAGGCCATTCAAAAGTGTTGGGGACTTTCACAAGGAGTGGACTGAGGCTGGAGTCAGTGCATCAAGAGCCACCACACACAGACGGATCCTGGACATGGGCTTCAAATGTCGTATTCCTCTTGTCAAGCCGCTCCTGAACAACAAACAACGTCAGAAGCGTCTTACCTGGGCTAAAGAAAAACAGACCTGGTCTGTGGCTCAGTGGTCCAAAGTCTTCTTTTCTGATGAGAGCAACCTTTGCATCTCATTTAAAAACCAAGGAAGAATGGAGAGGCACATACTGCAAGATGCTTGAAGTCCAGTGTGAAGTTTCCACAGTATGTGGTGATTTGGTAAGCCATGTCATCTGCTGGTGTTGGTCCACTGTGCTTCATTAAGTCCAGGGTCAACGCAGCCGTCTACCAGGAGATTTTGGAGCACTTCATGCTTCCTTCCACAGACGAGCTTTATGGTGATGCTGACTTCATTTTCCAGCAGGACTTGGCACCTGCCCACACTGCCAAAAGCACCAAAACCTGGTTCAATGACCATGGGATTACTGTGCTTGATTGGCCAGCAAACTCGCCTGACATGAACCCCATAGAGAATCTATGGGGCATTGCCAAGGGAAAGATGAGAGACATAAGACCGAACAATGCAGAAGAGCTGAAGGCCGCTATTGAAGCATCCTGGTCTTCCATAACACCTCAGCAGTGCCACAGGCTGATAGCTTCCATGCCACGCCGCATTGAGGCAGTAATTGCTGCAAAAGGGGCCCAAGCCAAGTGCTGAGTACATATGCATGCTTATACTTTTCAGATGTCCGATATTGTTCAATGTACAATCCTTGTTTTATTGATTGCATGTAATATTCAAATTTTCTGAGATTGTGGATTTGGGATTTTCATGAGCTGTAAGCCATAATCATCACAATTATGACAAATCATGGCTTGAACTATCTTGCTTTGCATGTAATGAGTCTATCTCATATATTAGTTTTAACTTTTAAGTTGCATTACTGAAATAAATGAACTTTTGCACGATATTCTAATTTTGCGAGTATATATATATATATATATATATATATATATATATATATATATATACTGTATGGATTTTAGAACAGGCATTTTTTGGTTCTTTTCAGATTAGGACATCCTCGCCAATCAGCAATCGGAGTTAAGGAAAGGTGGGGGTTTGGAGAGCAGAGATTTTCACAGTTTTTATGACCAGTTATAAAAGATAAACTTATTTATTGAATGGATGTGACAGGTTATTGCATCTTTTTTAGTTCGAATCAGTCTGTAAAAAGGCAACAGTGAGGAAAAGAGAAATCTATCCTGTTTGAGTCTTAAGACAAATGCACTCTGTTGTGGTTCATTAATTACTTGGTAATGAGTTCTGCAGTAAGACAGCCTGTTCATTTTGAATAGGAAGCTAATGCACTGCTAAGGTTTTTATTCACCTTCCCAAAATTTATTAACCCAGCGCACCACAATGAACAGATGGTTCACACACATTAAACGCATGCTTAAACGAACAAGCCACAAGTGGTGTGCTGTTTAGATGCATTGGGGTGCCATTTAAAATGCATGTTAACACGCATTGTGGTAATTAGTGAACATTACTGCAGTGCAAAAGTTCGAATCTGCTCTCTGTTGTAATTTTTTCTATGTAATAGTTTATGATTTTGTAACAGCTGATATGGGACTTGATTATATAGGCAGCTGAGTCTCTGGTAATGTTATCGGTTTTTAAAGCCTAACTGAACATTCTGTTTAAAATGAACCTGTGCCCAGACTATGCATATTAAAGTATTTTTTCACTATCTTAAAAGCATTAAAAGCTATTTAAAACAAGCTTGCATTCAGCTATTCAGGAATCACAACAGAGGCGCTGAAATTACAGATCCTTCCCCTTTGTATTCTATGGAAACAGAATCTTGACAGCCTGCCAGCCCTCTAAAGTAAACACACAGCAGATGCTTGTAAGTTGTTAAAAACATACTGAAACTTAACTTTAGTCTTTGTTGTGATCTTTGAGGATTTTAAATGATAAATTACTCCACAGTACAATAGGCTACAGAGGTTGCTGATGACTTGCTTTAAAAATCTTTTCCTGCTTGCTACGCTCAGTTCACACTATTGTGGCCCATGTTTTCTCAGGCTCAGCAGCCCATTCTTTGAATGGGCTGCTGCGCCTGCACAAAAAAGGTGCATGCCTTTTTGACCACTCAGTTTCCACACCCACAACCAGCCTGCATAGAGTGAACTGATCTATAAGTATGTAAAAACTTTAATGTCCATAGTCTAGGCACAGGTGCACGTTAAATCAGCTAAATACATTCCAGGGTCATCAGTTTTGTTGTCTTTAGTAAGCAGCCACAGCCAATCTAGAAAGGAGTCAGAGCTAACGCTCTCCAATCAGCAGGGAGCGTGAGCTTTGGTGATTACAGATAAGTACAGCAGAGGGCGCAATCTCAGTGTAGTAAATTAAACACTTTTATTGTGGAAAAGACAATTGGCAAGTTACATACATCAAATCAGTCTCCAATACGTTTTATTGTTGAGCGATTGAAAAAAAAAAAGGGAAACATACTGGATTTTTCACTCTACATTCCCTGTCCCCAGGGGGTCTAAATGAGGAGATTGAAATCAACACTGTCATCTGAAGAGTTTCACTCCCAAACTCATCTCCTTGTGCCATTGCTGCCACTTTTTGTTGTCATTATTATTTTTGCTTCTATCATTATAACCTGCTTCCCATTATCACTTGTACCATACTGTTTACTGTGGCTGTTACCACTATTACCATCATTATTATCATCACTTCCACTATTTATCTTCTTATTATCATCCACATTACTGTAACCATTATTTCCATCTCATTAATTTATCTTTCTGGAATAATCCTCCATACTTTTGCCCTTCCAAAAGACATAGTCCTATTTATGTAAACATTGTGCATTCAGATTGCTTTAGTGACCTCCCACTTTTCTCACTGGTCATCCGACCGTACTAGTTACTCTTCCTATACTATGTAATTTTATAATGTTTTTATTTTTACTATTTTTGATCATTTTCAACTCTAGTTGGATCATTTTGGTTTGTATTTTTCTACTATGCACCATTAGTGTGTTCCACAACTGTTTTACAGCCCATTACACGTTCCTTGTGCTGCACCTCGTAGTCCCACATCACATATAAATAGACCAGCTCCACCATGTTCAGGAAGGCTTGACAAAGAGGCGTAACATCTCACGACATGTAGCCACACACCCCATGATATCCATCCGCACACGATATCTCTTTTGGCTCATTGTGTGCTCCACAGAGTACCTTCCTTTCAGCTCCCCATCCTCCACCTTGCTTCCTGAAAGGTATAGAGGAACCTTTCCTCCAACTGTGACTCATACCAGGCATGGATACACAGCACCAATGCGGACATTGGTGATAAGTGCTTACACTCCCTTGCTATATGAGTTGTAATTATGATTTTTTCACCATTCATTCTGCACTTAGTTTTTGCGCCCTTTGGTGTTTTCCTGGTTTTCCAGACCTGGTCCTGTGCCTTCCCCTGGTCTGGATCACTGTGCCTTGCTTCACTAAGAAATTCACCACACTAGGCCGCTTTCTGATGATAAGAGATTTTAAACTGTCTGTATGTAAGTTTCCATTGCCTTTTCTACAATAAAAGTGTTTAATTTACTACACTCAGATTTTGCCCTCTGCTGCTCTGATCAATTACTTCAGAGATCTCTTCAGTTTTCAAAGAGGTGTTGCATAGAAGTGTTTTGGAGTCAGTGAAAGTTAAACCCTGAAGTACTACAAGGACCTATATGGACTTTTTGAAGAGTTCACCACTTATTCATATATACATACATAGTCCACACCACGCTCTTCCCCATATTTTCATATCATGTTTGGTTATTGAAGAGGCATGCTCTACAGAGCTAGACCAAGAGGTATATTGGACCCCTGCAAAGAGACTACTGCTTCCACACAGAGAGCAAAGGTTCCACTTTGCAGCATGAGGACACAGGAGTATCTGCTCAAGCTGTAGCTGCTTTCCTTAGAAAAAAAAATGTAAAACATTGCACCTATTGCTCTGATGCATCTGGAATATATTTGACAGATTTAAATTGAAAGTTTATATATGGCTTTCAGTTAAGACTTATTTAAATTAATAAGGCTTTAAAGTGTACTAAACCAACAACAGTAAAATCAGTCTGTATATGCAGTAAAGCATGCTTATTATACTCATTATGGAATTTAAGGGGTTAATCCTCTGCATTATGTAAAAAGGATGTTTGATCCTGTCTTTTCTGATCCTCCCCTTTTTCCACGTTCCCCATTCATCTCTTGATAGAACAGAGCATCAGGGACACGCTTTAACTTTTTCTTTTTCTTGGGAGGGTGCATGTAAGTAGCACAGGGCCAATCAGCACTGTCCAGACAAAGGGTCAGGGGTTATGCAGCCTCATAGGGCAGTGAGAGGAGAATGAAAACTCCTTCTACAAGCTTTAACCAGTGCTCAGCTGGACACTGATATAAGTCACAAGACTGCTCTAACTTCTGGTGGAAAAAAGGTATTTAGCAGTTTATATTTACTAAAATAATTGCATTTCCATGTTCTGTGTACTGTGGGAGACCAGATATAGTTAATGCAGAGTCCTGGGCTTAGTAATGCTTTAAGTAAAGAATTGCACTTTTGTACTCCTAGTTTTTCTTCATTGTTTTTTGGATGATGCTCTATTTTCTTCTTCATGTATCCTTCCTTCTCTGCATTTATTGTCATGGTGCTTATTTACTACTTCCCAAACTGATCCTTTTCCTTGGTACTTGTACCAGATGGCAGATGCTATGGAAATGATGATACTTAGCATCCTGGCTCCACAGCTCCACTGTGAATGGAGATTACCCAGCTGGCAGGTGGCTTTGCTCACATCGGTAAGCAGATGCGCTGACTAGGCCTTGATCATATTCCAGGTGCTGAACTGACGTCATAGCTGCTGAAAGTCTCGCATTCATCTTTTTTTTTAATTACAAAGCTTTGTTGGCACAGTCATGCCCGGATATTAACTGTTAGCTGAAACAGCATTGGTTTAACTTGTGCCACAATGTCCTTGGTAACTGAATGACTTTGCTTTGAAATTTCTTTTTGAAAATGTCATCAGAACTAGTATGTAAATTACAGCTATAGGGTCCTGTATGATAGTCTAAACAAGTACAAAATCCAGTTACTATGTGATGCACAAGCTTCATAAAGTGAATAGAAAACCTCCTTTAATAACCACTTCATGTCTGGACGCTTTCACCTCCTTCCAATCCAGGCCAATTTTGAGCTATCAGTGCTATCACACTTTGAATGACAATTGCGCAGTCATGGAACACTGTACCCATATAAATTTTTTATAATTTTTTTGAGACAGATAAAACTTTATTTTGGTGGTATTTATTCACCACTGTGATTTTTATTTTTTTGCTATATAAAATGAAAAAGTCCAAATATTTTGAAAAAAAAGTGTTTTTCTTATAACATTTTACAAATAAATCATTTGTCTTCATAAATCTTGGCCAAAATTTATTCATCTATCTTTTTAGTAAAAAAAAATAACCCAAAGTAGTTTATAACCAAAAATTATAATTTTTCAAAAACATTTTTTACATTATTTTATTTTTTTATATTATTATTTATTTTATTTTTTTAACATACCATCACCTTATCAGTACAGTGTCACCATAGTGACACTATACTACTTGTGGGGGGTGATGAAGATTTTTTTTTTCTTTTTTTACACTGATTGCTTTTACACCCATAAAGGATGTAAAAGCAATCATTTCTCCTCTCTGGCTGCATTCTTGCAGCCATTGAGAAATACTGTGAGAGCTGTGATTGGTCACAGCTTGTCACATGGTACAAGGCTGCTGTGAATAGCCTTGTACCATGTGACCTCTGCGATCATTCACAGATTTCACTAGTAGTAAGCAATGATGTCAGGAAGTGACATCTTGCTTACTACTATTCATGTGATCACTGATTAGCCAATCAGTGATCACATGAGTGGGACCTCACACAGAGGTCCCGTACAGCGATTGGTGTTCCGCTGTGTCCGGTGGATCGCTGTGCTCCCAGGGAGTGAATACGGAGGCCGTTTATAAGCAGCCACCCTCTCCTGCACTGCTCCCGTCTGGCCGTTTATGTACATGGGTCGGACAGGAAGTGGTTAACTTTCTTGACCATAGGTGGGCTTCAACAACAGAGATAGTACTGTCGATTGAGAAAGCAGCAGACAGGACTAGATGTGGCCAGATGCCCATCGACAAGCTACAGACTTGTGAATCAGCCACACTTGTACAACATTTTTTCAAACCACTGTAGTGCATGCAAATACAGCCTACATGAGTGTGGCAACTCTGCTCCAGATTCAGAAGTGCAGCATTTTTGCCAACCCATCACAGAATGATGCAGTACAGTAAGTAGACTTTACTAGCAAGCTCAACAGGTCTTTGTGGGATTTTGCAAAGGGACTTAGAGAAAACTGATGGTACAGATGCACTTATAATGAAGTGCCACAGTTCTACTTTAACCACCTGAGTACTAGCCTGTACTGTATATGCCCCTTCATTAGTTTGACCAACAGTTACTCTGCCATCCAACACTGTACCTAAAATCATTTTATATAATTTTTTGAGAGCTTCTTTAGAGCTTTCCTTAGGCTGTATTTAATAATTATTGTTTTTTGTTTTTTTTTTTTACTATAAAAAGAAAAAAGACCAACAAAAAAGTTTCCCTTACTGTTATAAACCTTATCAAATAAAAATGTCAGGACAGTACAAAAACACTAACATATAAAAAATTTTTTTGGAAAGTAGACATCCCAAGGTCTCATCTTTGTCGCAAATTAAGAAATATGCTGGTATTGAGGTGGTTAGAGACAAACTCTGCTCAGCTCTATTTGCAGCAATGTTTTCCACTGTACTTAAAGCGATATGAAACCAACTTTTGCACTTTCCAATATATTAAGGCTTGATATGTCTTCCTTAGAAGTTCTCTAAAGTCTTCTTAGGATTACCTACTAGATTTAAATGTCGACTCTGGCCTGATTACATCACTCCTGCATGCAGAGTGACCTCTGCATTCATGGCACACTGCCTGTGTCATGATTGCATAGAGCACTGGGCCTTGATGGTGACCATGATGCCATTGCTGCCCAGCCATTCAGATGGCTGAAGAGCATGAAGACCTGGTGAATATGGATGAGCCGGAAGCGGTGACAGCTCAGCGCTGGTAGGTGTTGTTTCACAGGTAAGCTTGTCATAAAGTGCTAATACGCATACTAGCACATTATAGCATCACCCACCTTGGGTTGGAAAAAAAAATAAGCCGAGTATAATACTGCTTTAAATAGGTGCATGTAAACATAGTTTAATGTTATCTTATTTTTCAGTAAATCACTCTCGTAGTTTATTGGGTCCTAATGTACTGTTTGTGTTTATTCAGACAAGTTTTCAAACACTGAAGCAGTATGTAATCATTTCTGTTATACAAGAGCTGAGCTAGTGTGAAGTGAGCTACAGATTGTAATTCCCTAATATAACAGAATTTTCCCCTATTTTGCTGGTATGTTATTCAGCATGAACTAGTAAAGTACTTGTAAAGCCAATTTTTTTTATAATAACAAACATGTCATACTTTTTTGCTCTGTGCAATGGATTTGCATATAGCAGCCTCGATCCTCTATTTTTGGGGTCCCCTGCTGGCAATCTTGGCTGCTTCCCTGCTGACTGCCCTTCATAGCAAGCTGCATGCTATGTGGGCACTTGTGCGGGCTCGCTCCTGAGTCGCCTCTCTATGTCTATAGACACACAGACCGTTGCTCAGCCTCACCTTCTACTCCCTCCTTACTAGATCTGAGCCTATGAGGGAGAGAGACGTTGCTCTCGCACACAACCCTGGATTGAGATCAGGTTCAGGTAAGTATAAGTGGGGGGTGTGGGAGGGAGGTAGCTGGACAAAGAACGTTTTTTATCTTAATACAGAGAATGCATTGGAAACTTCAGCCTTTAAAATGTTAAATGTTAGTGGGTCTATATTTTTTTAATGATTTATACCATTATTCCACATTTACGTTAACTTCTTTTCTGTGGTAAGAAAAAAAAATAAACTATTATTTTACTGCAAGAGCTTTTACCACTAATTCTGCAGTCTATCTGCACAAACTTGTTGATGCTATAGATCAATTTTTGGCATGTTTCTGTGTCTTACAATCTAATTTCCATACACTGAAGGACACTGCAGTGCCAAGAGTGCTTATGTTGTTTTTTCTGTTTTATTCCCAGGTTGTCTTTATAGGAATGATGTCTAGCTCTTCCCTCTGGGGAAATGTCTCTGACCAGTATGGCAGAAAGACAGTAAGTTTCAGTGACAGAGTGATTTAATAATTACATAAGCTTACTGAATATTTAAATATTATGATGTCCCGATTGACATTTCTAGGCATTGAGCTCTGCATTGTGTTTAATCATGTTTTGTATCTGCATTTTCTCTCTTATGTAGGGTCTAAAGATTAGCGTATTCTGGACTTTGTATTACGGGATCCTCAGTGCATTTGCACCAGTCTATAGTTGGATTCTGGTGCTTAGAGGATTGGTTGGTTTTGGGATTGGAGGAGTCCCTCAATCGTAAGTTGCCTAAATCCAGGCTTTTTTTTAGTTATACTTACAGTGTTTGACTGCATTTCATTTAAACTTCATTTAAAACCAGATTGTACCCCTCTCCCCCATGGTTCATATTCAGTTCTCTTATACAGCTGGTATCCCACTCCCAGCTGCCACCATTTTTGTCTCAAGCTCTAGGTTCACCTATCGGATTTCATGTGGACCTGGATGTGTGCAGTAACATTGTGGGACCTTTTTGCTGTGTGTCCCCTGCCTCTGCAGGTCTCCTTGCACTGATTGTCAATAGCGGTGGACTGGCCAGATTAAAAAAAAAGGCAGGGTACACATATGATGAGCATACCTGGCAGCTTTTGGAAGTTATTAAGCCTGAGACTGTGAAGGGGAAGGAGGGTGGGAAGGGGAGAGGTTATTAAATGCATACAAAGTGCCATGCTGAAAAAGAGGGTATAGTTACAGTGTTCTTTATGCACTGCAGAAAATTGCAGGGTTAAAGTGGAGCTAAACTTACCTTATCTTACCTTGCTAGCTGGGTTGGAAAAAAATAAAGCACAAATCCACATACCATTAGGCGAAAGATTGTCCTGGATGCTGCACAACTTTCACAAACAGCTCATTGTAGCGATGTGTATAGATCTGTCAGGGACAGCAGCAGTAGGTTAGTGTCTACTTTAAAAAATGATGGCAAACAAAGATGAGCAATGTATACTATGAGTACAGTATATTCACCTGTAATCCATGGTTACTTTCTGTGTTTTAGATATAGTTCAACACTTTAAGCACACACCATGGAGAGAATTTAGCAGATAAAACCTATATCTGCTTACCTCTCCACTCCATAGGGGAAGAGGGTGTTTTGAGGCAGTTCGTGTAACGCTGATATGTGCAGTGATTTCTTTTTTCCTTGTATCATGACAGAGTAACCCTCTATGCAGAGTTCCTTCCAATGAAAGCTCGAGCAAAGTGTATCCTGTTAATAGAGGTGAGCTGGTTCTAGTGTTCACTTTTTATGGAAATAAAAGGTATTTTATAAAATGATGTACACTATATTCTCAAAAGTATTGGGACAGCCCTCCAAATCATTGATGTTCTAATCACCTCCATGGCCACAGGTGTATAAAATCAAGCACCTAGGCATGCAGACTGCTTCTACAAACATTTGTGAAAGAATAAGTCGCTCTCAGAAGCTCAGTCAATTCTACTGTGATAGGTTGCCACCTGTGCAATAAGTCCATCCAGGAAATTTTCTTGCTACTAAATATTCCACGGTCAACTGTTAGGGGTATTATAACACAGTGGAAGCAACTGGGAACAATAGCAACTCAGCCAGGAAGTGGTAGGCCACATAAAATGACAGATCGGGGTCAGCATATGCTGAAGTGCATAGAAGTCACCAACTGTCTGCAGAGTCAATAGATAAAGACCTCCAAACTTTCGTGTGACCTTCACATTAGCACAACAATAGTGCATAGAGCTTCATGGAATGGGTTTCAGCAGCTGCATCCAAGCGTTACATCACCAAGTGCAATGCAAAGTGTCGGATGCAGTGGTGTAAAGTACGCCGCCACTGGACTCTAGGGCAGTAGAGACTTTTTCTCTGGAGTGATGAATCACGCATGTCTGTCTGGCAATCCTCTGGATGTGTCTGGGTTTGGCAGTTACGAGGAGAACAGTACTTGCTGACTGCATTGTGCCAACTGTAAAGTTTGATGGAGGGGGATTATGGTATGGGGTTGTTCTTCAGGGCTTGGGTTTGGCCCCTTAGTTCCAGAGAAGGCAAATCTTCAGGCGTTGGCATACCAAGACATTTTGGACAATTTCATGCTCCCAACTCTGTGGGAACAGTTTTAGGGATGGCCCCTTCCTGCTCCAACATCACCAGTGCACAAAGCAAGGTCCATAAAGACATGGATGAGCGAGTTTGAGGTGAAGGAGCTTGATTCGCTTGCACAGAGTCCTGACTTCAACCCGATAGAACACCTTTGGGATGAATTAGAACGGAGACTGCGAACCAGGCCTTCTATCTGACATCAGTGCCTGACCTCACAAATGTGCTTCTGGAAGAATGGTCAAACATTCCCATAGACCAGCGGTTCTCAACCTGGGGGTCGCGACCCCTTTGGGGGTCGAACGACACTTTCACAGGGGTCGCCTAAGACCATCGGAAAACACATATATTTCCGATGGCCTTAGGAACCGAGACACCGCTCCTCTATCCGTCTCCAGGTGTGGGCGGGATGACATGCCATCCCTGTCATCTGGACACACCCCCGGGATCAATCCTTCGCCGGTGATTGGCCGCCGGAACTGTAGCTCAGGAGAGGCACACAGGCGACCAATCACCGGTGAGGAGGTGGAGCTTGGAGAGGAGGAGCCGAGGAACAACGCAAAGATCGAGCGAGTGAAGAGGAGGAGGGCGGCCGGAGAAGGAAGACATCTGACCGGTAAGTGTCTTTACCATGGGAGAGGGAGGGAGCGAGCGAGCCCAGGCTGGAGCAGGGGTCAGCAAGGTAAGTATCATTGGTGTCAGTGGGAGGAACAGTGCCCCATCATTGGTGTCACTAATACCAATGATGGGGCACTATTCCTCCCCCCACTGACACCAACGATGGGGCACTATTCCTCCCCCCACTGACACCAACGATGGGGCACTATTCCTCCCCCCACTGACACCAACGATGGGGCACTATTCCTCCCCCCGCTGACACCAACGATGGGGCACTATTCCTCCCCCCACTGACACCAACGATGGGGCACTATTCCTCCCCCCACTGACACCAACGATGGGGCACTATTCCTCCCCCCACTGACACCAACGATGGGGCACTATTCCTCCCACTGATACCAATGATGGGGCACTATTCCTCCCACTGATACCAACGATGGGGCACTATTGCTCCCCCTGATACCAACGATTGGTCACTATTCCTCCCACTGACACCAATGATGGGGCACTATTCCTCCCACTGACACCAATGATGGGGCACTATTCCTCCCACTGACACCAATGATGGGGGGACTATTCCTCCCACTGACACCAATGATGGGGCACTATTCCTCCCACTGACACCAATGATGGGGGCACTATTCCTCCCACTGATACCAATGATGGGGCACTTTTCCTCCCACTGACATCAGTGATGGGACACTATTCCTCCCACTGACACCAGTGATGGGGCACTATTCCTCCCACTGACACCAATCATGGGGCACTATTCCTCCCCCCACTGACACCAACGATGGGGCACTATTCCTCCCCCCACTGACACCAACGATGGGGCACTATTCCTCCCCCCACTGACACCAACGATGGGGCACTATTCCTCCCCCACTGACAACAACGATGGGGCACTATTCCTCCCACTGATACCAACGATGGGGCACTCTTCCCCCCACTGACACCAATGATGGGGCACTATTACTCCCACTGACACAAATGATGGGGCACTATTCCCCCCACTGACACCTATGATGGGGCACTATTCCTCCCACTGACACCAATGATGGGGCACTATTCCTTCCACTGACACCAATGATGGGGCAATATTCCTCCCACTGACACCAATGATGGGGCTCTATTCCCCCCCTGACACCTATGATGGGGCACTATTCCTCCCACTGACAGCATTGATGGGGCACTATTCCTCCCACTGACACCAATGATGGGGCACTATTCCTCCCACTGATACCAATGATGGGGCACTATTCCTCCCACTGATACCAATGATGGGGCACTATTCCTCCCACTGACACCAGTGTTGGGGCACTATTCTTTCCACTGATACCAATGATGGGGCACTATTCCTCCCACTGATACCAATGATGGGGCACTATTCCTCCCACTGACACCAATGATGGGGCACTATTCCTCCCACTGACACCAATGATGGGGCACTATTCCTCCCACTGACACCAATGATGGGGCACTATTCCCCACTGATACCAATGATGGGGCACTATTCCTCCCACTGATACCAGTGTTGGGGCACTATTCCTCCCACTGATACCAGTGATGGGACACTATTCCTCCCACTGACACCAGTGATGGGACACTATTCCTCCCACTGACACCAGTGATGGGGCACTATTCCTCCCACTGACACCAATGATGGGGCACTATTCCCCCCACTGACACCAATGATGGGGCTCTATTCCTCCTACTGACACCAATGATGGGGCACTATTCCTCCCACTGACACCAATGATGGGGCACTATTCCTCCCACTGACACCAATGATGGGGCACTATTCCTCCCACTGACACCTATGATGGGGCACTATTCCTCCCACTGACACCAATGATGGGGCACTATTCCTCCCATTGACATCAGTGATGGGACACTATTCCTCCCACTGCAAAATTACAGTTATGAAGTAGCAACGAAAATAATTTTATGGTTGGGGGTCAGCACAACATGAGGAACTGTATTAAGGGGTCGCGGCATTAGATAGGTTGAGAACCACTGCCATAGACACACTCCTAAACCATGTGGACAGCATTATGATAAGAGTTGAAGCTGTTATAGCTGTAAAGGGTGGGCCAACTCAATACTGAACTTTATGAACTAAGACTGGGATGCCACTAAAGTCCATGTGCGTGTAAAGGTCGGTGTCCTAATACTGTTGGCAATATAGTGTATGTATGTGGGTGCAGCCATTTTTGCTTATTACATATGCAGGTTCTACTTTTGCAGTGCTACACATTAGTTGTGGTTTACTGATCCTTTTCACACTGCAAGTCTGGGGGTTAGCTGACTAAAGCTGGCCATAGATTATTTTTTTTATCAGACAGCTGGCTGATTCAAAAAGAGAAAAAAGAACTGGATTTTTCCATCCACACATTCAAGGTGTATGCGGGAATCCTTCCCGCCACCACACTATTGCATTCTGACAGAGGGACTTCTCCACTAGCAGAATATACTAATCAGTGCTGCAGCCGATTGGTGCCAATCAAACACAAATTTTCCAACAGTCCTATTGATCAGTAGGTCAACTTCTCTGGAATAAATGAATCGAAATTTGGCTGGTCCCTGCTGAACCAGCTGAAATTCGATTCATGTATGGCCATCTTAAATTAAACAATATGGCAGATATTACATTTGTTAAGCAGAAAGGTAGAATGATTGCATTTTGAGTGTTTACCATCTTTAGTGACTGCTCCACAAATCTTGATATTAAGAAAAAAAAAATACAGTATGTATGTAATAAAATTAATATAAAAATTGGTAATACCTTAAAATGGGAACTGTGGAAAACACAATATCTTCTCTTCAAAGCCGTACATACTTCTCCCAAAAAATTATCATAATTTCGCATTTTCCTTACCAAGGATGATTATGTTTACCTATTTAGGCTTGTTTGGAACTTTGCGAGTGTCTAAATGTTTGGTGATGTACTTGGGCAGTGGCAGGTATTGGTATTGAAAATTAGCAGACAGCAAAGCAAGATTGCTGTCAATCTGCTAAAACCAGGCTTCTCAAAATTGACAGGTACCAATACTTTGCTAACCAGTGAGATTAACAGATTTTAATAAATATTTTTCTACTTCTGTTGTCAAGGACTTGGGCTTGCTTTGTAGTGCTACAATGTCAAAGTTAGATTTAGCATGTTACCATTTGTATTACAGATTTTCTGGGCTGTTGGCACCGTGTTTGAGGTTCTACTAGCTATTTTTGTGATGCCCACATTGGGATGGCGCTGGCTTCTTATACTGTCTGCCCTTCCCCTCATGCTTTTTGCCATTATGTGCTTTGTAAGTATTTATTAATTCAAATATAAGAGTAAATGACTTTCAGGTTACTTTTATATATGTGATACATTTACAGAGTAGATAATTCACCTGCTAGTGTATGCTTCACATAGAGTTGTTCTGTTTTTTTAAAGCAGAGCATGTGTATATCATTTTGTCTGCTGTTTTCTAGTGGTTGCCAGAGAGTGCAAGGTATGATGTTCTGTCTGGGAATCAAGAGAAAGCTCTTGCTACTTTGAAACGTATTGCAACTGAGAATGGTGCACCAATGCCTCTAGGGAAACTAATCTTATCAAGACAGGTATGTATTTGTTATAAACAATTGTTTAACAACTAGTGGCAGTTGATTAGTGTGTGGGTTCAGAAACAATTGTCTCATGGTCTTCAGGAAAAGGATTCTCCCAGCATGTTGGTTAAGCTCTTGAGACCATTCTTAGTCATTTTATTTTTCACATGAGTAGAGGAAACCCCTCTAACTTATAAAACCAAACCAAATGTTAGTAGTTATTTTGGTGCAGTGCATTGAGGATGTGCAGATCTTCTGTTTGCCTAAGGCAGGGGTGTCAAACTGCAAGTCCTACCATGCCTCTACCTTTGGGAGTCATGCTTGTAACTGTCAATCTTGCAATGCCTCATGGGACTTGTAGCTTGGCAACAGCTGGAGGGCCGCCAGTTTGACACATGTGGCCTAAGGTATCTGTTTGATATTGACCCACTTTAAGGACGGAGGCTGTTAGAATGATGCTCCATTATATATTTATGTCAGGTGCAGGGTTTTTCTCTACCAGTATGGTGGCTGAATTTGGAACTGGAGGTGCATGACATTGGTATAGATTAAATATTTTTTCATGTGTGTATGTATATACATATATACAGTATATATATATGTGTGTGAAACTCTAAAAATTAGAATATCGTGCAAAAGTTCATTTAGTTCAGTAATGCAACTTAAAAGGTGAAACTAATATATGAGATAGACTCATTACATGCAAAGCAAGATAGTTCAAGCCATGATTTGTCATAATTGTGATGATTATGGCTTACAGCTCATGAAAACCCCAAATCCACAATCTCAGAAAATTAGAATATTACATGCAATCAATAAAACAAGGATTGTACATAGAACAATATCGGACCTCTGAAAAGTATAAGCATGCATATGTACTCTGTACTTGGTTTGGGCCCCTTTTGCAGCAATTACTGCCTCAATGCGGCGTGGCATGGAAGCTATCAGCCTGTGGCACTGCTGAGGTGTTCTGGAAGACCAGGATGCTTCAGTAGCGGCCTTCAGCTCTTCTGCATTGTTTGGTCTCATGTCTCTCATCTTTCTCTTGGCAATGCCCCATAGATTCTCTATGGGGTTCAGGTCAGGTGAGTTTGCTGGCCAATCAAGCACAGTAATTCCACTGTCATTGAACCAGGTTTTGGTGCTTTGGTAGTGTTGGCAGGTGCCAAGTCCTGCTGGAAAATAAAGTCAGCATCCCCATAAAGCTTGTCTGCAGAAGGAAGCATGAAGTGCTCCAAAATCTCCTGGTAGACGACTGCGTTGACCCTGGACTTAATGAAGCACAGTGGACCAACACCAGCAGATGACATGGCTTCCCAAATCAACACAGACTATGGAAACTTAACACTGGACTTCAAGCATCGTGCAGTGTGTGCCTCTCCATTCTTCCTCCATACTCTAGGTCCTTGGTTTCCAAATGAGATGCAAAAGTTGCTCTCATCAGAAAAGAGGACTTTGGACCACTGAGCAACAGACCAGGTCTGTTTTTCTTTAACCCAGGTAAGACGCTTCTGACGTTGTTTGTTGTTCAGGAGCAGCTTGACAAGTGGAATACGACATTTGAAGCCCATGTTCAGGATCCGTCTGTGTGTGGTGGCTCTTGATGCACTGACTCCAGCCCCAGTCCACTCTTTGTGAAAGTCCCCAACACTTTTGAATGACCTTTTCCTGACAAACCTCTGCAGGCTGTGGTCATCCCCGCTGCTTGTGCACCTCTCTCTTCCACACTTTTCCCTTCCACATAAATTTCTATTAATGTGCTTTGATAAAGCACTTTGGGAACATCCAACTTCTTTTGCAATCACCTTTTGAGGCTTTCCCTCCTTATGGAGGGTATCAATGATGGCTTTCTGCACCAACTGTCAGGTCAGCAGTCTTTCCCATGATTGTGATTCCTACTAAACCAGACTGAGAGACCATTTAAAGGCTCAGGAACCCTTTGCAGGTGTTATGCCTTAATTAGCTGATTAGAGTGGGACACTTTGAGCCTAGAATATTGCACCTTTTCACAATATTCTAATTTTCTGAGATTGTGGATTTGGGGTTTTCATGAGCTGTAAGCCATAATCATCACAGTTATGACAAATCACGGCTTGAACTATCTTGCTTTGCATGTAATGAGTCTATCTCATATATTAGTTTCACCTTTTAAGTTGCATTACTGAAATAAATTAACTTTTGCACGATATTCTAATTTTTCGAGTTTCACCTGTGTGTGTATATATATACTGTATATATATATATACATTATTATGCTTGTGCCCAGCATAAATTAATGGACTCCAGCAGATTTGTCAGAAAACCTTTACTTTCCTTTCACAATCAACATTTGCATTGGGACACTTTACTACAAAATACTCCCACAAATGCGGGCCATTGATTGTAAACCACATTTGTTAATTTGCACACACAGGAAAGTATTTTTCCTAACAAATTTATTCAAGACCATGTTGCAAAAATTAATACACCCCAGTGAAAGTCTTAGGAGCAAAGCTAAATTTTAGACAAAAAAAATCATAAGTAACAAGAATTCAACTTCAGGTGAGTCAAATTATTCATTAAACAGGTTACAAGAAGATCAGCAAAGCTTAACTTATCAGTCAGAATACTGTTGCAAAAGTGATGTGAAAATTTAACAAAGATCGAACTACAATCATCTTACAGAGACCTCCAGGCCTTCCACAGAAGTTAACACCTCAACAGGTTACCTGGTGTAAGAGGGAAGGATTGGAAGCACTGGACTGAATTTTCATTGGGGTTCAACCTATATGCTAGAGATGGTTTGCACCTAAATGGAAGGGGGTCTGCTGTGCTGGGGTAGAGGTTTATGGGCAGACTGGAGGAGTATTTAAACTAGGATCGAGGGGGGAGGGGGGGGGAATTAGATTATTGTCAGAGGAAAAGACAAGGAACTCGGGCAAATGCGCCAATGCACAATATGGCCACGCCAATTAGCGCAAAGGAGTACGCATGCGAATAGGCGGGCGACACGTAACCATGCATTCCTGTGCACGAAAATGCACCGCCACACACAGGGTGCACTAATTGCTGACACTCAGTGGCCTTTATAAGGACTGCAGCTCTGCTCAGTGATTGCTGGATTATCATCAGCCCCTCCCTTTCCCTGTGTTCCTGTGTTTACTGCTGATTACCCATTACCGACCCGGCTTGATCCTGACCTTGTTCCTGTCTGCTGCTCTGTGTATGATCCCGACTTGCTCCTGACCTTGATCCTGTCTCCTGCTACTCTGTGTATGACCCTGGCTTGATCCTGACCTTGCTTCTGTCTGCTGCTACGCTGTGTATGATCCTGACTTGATCCTGACGTTGCTCTTGTCTGCTGTTAAATATTGATCCTGGCTCTGGCTACTGACTACTCTACCCATCCTCCTGGATCCACATGTTCTCTGGAGAAACTCATCCTGCAACTGGAGCACCCACGGGTTCCATCTCATCAGGCATTTCCAAGCAGCAACACCACTGGCAACCCGTGCTTCTTTGGGCACTGTACCTCCTGTTTCCACCTCCAGGGGCGCACTGCACTTAGCCGTAAGGGGAGCCATCTCTCTATTGCATCCTCAGGTAAGGTACGTGACAATTATAATGGGGTAGACAGATCAGACAGGGGTCAGTTCTTATTGGTGGGTGGGATAGGGAGAGGGGTTATGGCAGATGATAAGAAGGTTCCCATTTTGCAAACAACCATTGGAATTGGTGCCATTTGTACGAAAATAAAAAATATGCAAAATACTTGTGCACAAGTGTCAATGAACTAAAGTGTTTGTTCACCCATGCCAGAAAATCTGCCAAGCAAAATAGGTGAGTTGGAAGCTGTGGGGCATGAAAAGAACTATGATTTAATTGGTATTGCTGAATCTTGGCTATAGTCTTCACATGACTGGGCAATTAATATTCCTGGCTATGTTCTCTTTTGAAGATACAGGGTAAAAAGGAAAGGTGGTGGTGTCTGTTTCTATGAGAAGTGATCTCAGAGCAAGTGTGAAAGAGGATGTAGTTGATGGAGAGTGTGATGAGGCTCAAGCATTATGGGTGGAACTGCACACGGGGGTGCGTACTACAAAGGTAATCGTTGGAGTTTGTTTTAGGCCTCCCAGTGTTAATGAGGAGGTGGAGACTCAGCTCCTTGTACAGATCAAAAGGACTGCAAGGTCTGGGACAGTGATAATAATGGAGGATTTTAACTACCCAGAAATTGACTGGAGTAATAGTAATGCAGGAACAGTTAAAGGGAAAAAATGTATAAACCTACTACAGGACAATTTTATGGTACAGTTCATAGAGCCTTTGGTCATCTGGCACATTTCCAACATGACATTGATCCAAAACACACATCTAAGGCCACTGTTGCATTTCTGAAGAAGAATAGGGTGAAAGTGGATCAGTGACCAAGTACCGTCTCCTGATCTGAACCCAATCAAACATCTATGGGGAATTCTGAAGAGACAAGTTGAGTATCACTCTCCATCCAGCATCCAGGCTCTAAAAGAGGTCGTTCTTGAAGAATGGAAAAAGATGTTGCAATATGTCGCCAACTTGTTCATTCCATACCTAGAAGACTTGGTTCTGTCCTTACAAATCATAGAGGTCATACAAAATACTAGTTTTTGTTTTGGGGTGTATTTATTTTTGCATCAACTAATTTGAGCAAAACTGAAGATTTTGTAATCTAAGTTATATTATTAACCTTACTTTCATGTAATGAGCTAAACAAATGTTCTATAAAACTCAGTTTTGTAAAAATTTTGGGAATTTTTTCTTGTGTTCATTGAGATATTGATTAAAAGCTTACTTTTCAAAAGGGGTGTACTCATTTATGCTAAACAGTGTATATGCAAAACTCAAACTAATGCTTTCTATATAGGACTAGCATTAAACCCCTATCCCAAATATATAATCAAAGCCCTCAATATTCCTTATGGTCTCCAAGATACATCTATGATCAAAAACACATGATTGAATGTTTAAATGAATAAATATTATTGTATGGGATCTAAATTATTATCAATTCCTGAGGAAGCAGGTTATACTGTGAAATGGGTTGAGGAAATATAAGATTGTAATTTTTCTGGATTTCAAGGATACAACCCCAAGACACATTTTTTAGACATGTAAATGTACATATTAACAGGAAGAGGAGGAGGGTTGTGTTTGAGGTTTGAGGTAACAAATATGCCACTTGTAGGACACTTGTACGAATGTACCAGCCATGTTTGTACTGATGATTTTTGTGGGATCATTTTTAAATCATATTTTTGTATCATATAAAAATGAGTGGATGTATTTATCTTTTTAGTTTTGTATCTTTTGCATGCACTTAAAGGGTACCCAAAAAATCCCCACACAGGGCTTTTTGAGGTTTATTGTACTTTGCCAGTATGGCTTGACACTTTTACAGCATACTGACTTTTTGTTGTGTAATGATTTTATTATCTATTGATTTAATTTGTTATTGTTTAAATTTTACCAAAACTGCCCGTGTTAGGAGCTTTATTGCACTGACAAGTAAATATAGTCTCATCTATTTTATAGGAAGATCGTGGTAAAATACGAGATCTTTTTACACCTCAGTTCCGATGTACAACACTGTTGCTTTGGTTTATATGGTAAGTGGTAAACCACTTATGTCTTAAAGAATTGATTGAATATGTTAGAGGGTGTTGATTTAGAGCTTCCTTTTAAATATGTACATTCAAGACGAGCAAAGGATCCCGATAACTGAATAGTACTGTACTGGGTGGCATTTTCTGTAAAAAGGACAGTGAAGATGGATGTGCATGTGTAAAGAATGTCTGAGAGTAGGTTATGGAATTTTCTGGTCAGCCATCTTGGTTTCCTTTGCAGATCATGTTTCTGTCTTGTGGTGGTTCCACATACAACTCTAGTATGGAGCAGTTTAAACTATCGTATCTATGGAACAGTGAACATATTAAACAGTGCTATTGCCTTTAACCGAAAGAGTTAAAATTAATCTCTAGTTAAAGCTTTTTTTTTTTAGTTTCGGGTGGCATTGACAATTGGTGGATCCTTGGCCAAATGTAATGCTGTCTGTGTCCCCATTGGGAAGGTTTACCACTCCTGATGACTACTATAACTGAAAGAGAAAATGATGGGACATCATATATTTTAAGGTTGTTCCCAGAACATAGAGGTTAGGGCACATTTTTTTAATAGTGACACTTATTCCTAGAACAGTAGTTTAAGAAGGGAATTCCCCTCAATTTGGGAGATCTTCTCTAACCTCTTCTAGTGTCTCTGGAACAGAACGTGAAGGGAAGTTGCCCCTATTCTATCCTAAACCAAAAATATTTTTGGCTATACATTCACTTTAATGCTATGATATTTTGTTCACAGCTGAAGTTTCTTTATGTAAATTTAATAGACAAGAGTGGTGGGACAGGTTAAATAAACTTGAGGTGCTATGTCAAGCAAGTACCGGGCACAAAGTCATGCTTGTTTTAAAACAATATACCCCTAATGTACATCTGTATAGCATGCATATATTGAAACTAAGGCTGCAGTTAATTAGCAAGCATCTTACAGTGCTGCATTACATCTAGAAAGTATAACAGAAAAATAGGCACACCTCCTCCAGACTCTCGCAAAGCCTTGTTTGGCACCAAACATAAGCCCAAAAACTCAGTCAGTTCAGCAGGAACCTGAAACATTTGGTACCAGTGTCTGTTAAAGAGAAGCCAGTTTGACGACTAGCTTCTGTCGAATGGTCTTGCTGGAAAGCCAGCATTTGATCAGCGCTTGCAGCCAAGGGATATCAGAAAACAATAGTAGTGGGAAAGATCTCTGCATCACACATCATTGTGCCAATGCAGGGATCTGTAATATATATTTTTTTATCCAACCCACTGATTGAATGAAAAATAACTGAACATGTATATCCACCTTATACCCGTGTATATCCAGGATCTGTACGTTTTTTTTTTCATTCAACCACTGGCTGAACAAAAATAAAGGAACCTGTATACCCAGATTTAAGCACTTTCCCATGGAAGATGGCTACACATGCAATTATCAACCATGAGAAAGTTAGTAGGGTGATTTTATTTGGCTCTAGCAGAGCAGAGGTCAAAATGGATCATTTGTCTTCCAAAAGAAACCCAATGCTCTAGCTGACGAATGAATGCAGCTTCACTACTGGCACCTGTCCTGTCTGACATATTTCAACAGTAGAAGGGTTTTAAGATCGGAGGGAATATCAAGTGTTCTTCATCAATTTGCAAGTCATCCTTTCTGCAACTAGTACATCAGCTCTTTAGTCAGCACTCTAGTAAGTATGGGACTTGGTAGATGGGAAGTCCTTTGCTCATGACAAGGGGTGCCAGCATTATAGTAAAAGTTACTTCACACTGCAATTGCAGTGGAGCAGCCAACAGAAGCCCCTGACAACCTGGGCTTCAGGTCTCCTGGGGGTGCCAAAAGGATCTTTTAAAAATTGCCATTAGGATTTCTCTTAACACATAAGTCAGGAACCCTATAGCAGCAATCTCATGTGGTAAATTAAGCAGGAAACAGGCTGACTTTGGGATTCTTCAGCTTAAAACAAATTTATTTAAATACTAATGTATACTAAATTAAACTCTGATACAATGAAGATAAAGCAAACAGGTACATGGCTGTTTGTGTGTATGCAATATGCATAAGACTTTGACAATATGGTATGTTTGTTAATATGCAGGTATGCATTATATATTGTGAAGCTTATCTGTAAAAAAGACACATACTTACTGTGAGGATTTTTGAATGATTAATTAAGTCAGCGCTATTGATCATTTCATCGAATAATGTATGGCAGTATTATTAAAGTAATTAAGCTGACCAATTACTTATTCCTGAAATTCATTGCTCTATGTGGATATTCTTTTAAGCACAATAAAATTGTGTGAAAGTATGGACTATGAAACTTGAAAAATAAAGTAAGATTTATTGTACAATAAATCACTTAACAAACACCATTAACAGTCGTATTCATAGTGTGGCAAAGACACTGAAATTATATTCACAATAAATTACCTCAGTTTACCCGGCTAAAACATATTTATATACTAGATTAACTCAAATAAATAATTTCTTCTCATAGATTCTCTAATAATAACTAAACCTGGCAGACAATAATCTGCATTTGACAAACTATACTCATAATCCCTACAGTTGGATTAAGGGATGGAATCCATCTCTGAGAAATGTTAGTATGGCTACAATATAATACTCTAACCCCTAGGTGTTTGGGTATGGTGAGCAGAATATCAAAGTAACCAGCAAAAACTATTGCAATTGGAATATTAATTAAACAGACAAGAATCATCAAACTATAGCACACTTTTAGTTACCCTCAGCAGCAGATGAAATTAATTGCTTGGGCTGAATGGATATTGCCTTAAGATGGCTGCTGACCACACTCTCAAAATGTCTATCAATTGGTGGAGCTAGAGTAAGCAAGCTGGAGGCTGTTTTTCAAAATAGAGTTGATCTCAGCTGGAGATGAGCTTCAATATGGAGACCCTCAATGATGATAAGTGGTGGTGAATGGTCCTGATGAGTGGTGATCATTGATTGATTGATCCCTCTATGAGCTCACTTATTTATCTACCCAACAGAAAAAAACATTTAACCTAGGAATCCTCCCAGAGGGTGTAGCTGGTAATATTTACTCACTCCTAATTGGAGAGCGTTATTATTGATTAATTATTGGTTTGCATAATCAATAGCATAATCAAAAGCTTAACATAACAATAGCTTAATTTGACCACCAAAGAGTAATCTCTATATGCAGTTTTCCGGGAGAAAATGGATTTATTGGATTCAATCTTATAGGATAAACCAATTTTATCCTTCAGTCGATTTAACAATTTTACATGTTCTTTTATTTAAGCCTCCAATAAAAACACAACATAGTGTCCTGTGCCCCCTGCCCCCACCCACAGTAGTGACCTCTGCTCTCCTTCACATCATCCCCCTCACACAGTATTGTCCTCTTCCTCCCCCCACAGTAGTCCCCCCCGTGTCCTCTGCCCCATAGCAGTATCCTCTGCCTCCCCTCCCCTTAAAGCAGTGTCCTCTGCCCCCTTCACATCGCCCCCACTGTAGTGTCCTTTACCCCTTCCCCATAACAGTGTTCTGTGTCCCCCCCAAAGCAGTGTCCTCTGCCTCACTTTACAATCCCCCCATGTAGTGTTTTCTGTCCCCCATAGCAGTGTCCTGTGTCCCACAAAGCAGTGTCCTGTGCCCCCTTCACATCCCCCATGGCAGTGTACTCAGCCCCTCCCCCTGTATCAGTGTCCTGTACCCCCTTCCAAAAGTAGTGTTTTCTGTCCCCCCACCTCATCCCCCCAGCTGTAGTCTCCTCTGTTCTCCCCCCCCCCCCCCCATAGCAGTGTCCTCTATCCTTCACATCACCCTCCCCCCTTCCAATGTAATGTCCTCTGACCCCCATAGCAATGTCCTGTGCCCCCCCCCCCCCCCCAAGCAGTGTCCACTGCCCTATTTCACGTATAAGGCTCTTCATGGCTTGGCACCCCCATTATCTGTCTGAACTTTTATCAACTTACTTCCCCCATCATAACCTCCACTGCTCCTCAGATTCTGATCTTCTGTGTGTCCCCCCTACTCACCTACACTCAATGGGAGACAGATGCTCCAAAACTCTGGAACTCTGAACCAAGGAACATCAGAGAGTCATCTTCTCTAAACTCATTTAAATCAAATCTAAAAACGTTCTTCTTTAGACAAGCTTTCACTTAATGGTCTTTTTTTTTTTCCCTTTGTTTTATCCTGTGTATTTTTTGTTTGTTTTCTTTGTGCTTTGAGATGCTACCTTTATATATAAAATTATAAAACAAAGTTTATTATTATTATTACCCCCATGGTGTCCTCTGCCCCCCAAAGCACTGTCCTCTGTCGCCTTCACCAACCCCGCCACCACTGTAGTGTCCTCTACCCTGCCCTCCCCCAAAACAGTGCCCTCTGCCCCCCCCCCATCACCCCCTCCACAAACACACAAACACACACCAAGGCCTGCCTGGTAAACATAGGAAAGTCACTTTATTGAAAAGAGTGTTTTCCTTAGACTGTTTCAGTTTAAGAAGTTGTTCACAGCCAGATTTCAGGGTCTTTAGCTTGCAGACCTGTACACCTGTGATATAATGCGGTTCATCCAGAGTTTATTCTGCATAATTGATTGAGAAGTCATAACTTTTAATTTATAGAAGCTCTGACATTACTGATGAAACAACAACTTTTTTATATTCCAGGTTTTCCAATGCCTTTTCATACTACGGACTGGTTCTCTTAACCACAGAACTCTTTCAAGCTGGAGATGTATGCAGTAGTAAGTAACTCCCATCTTATTATCTAAAGTCTCAAGTCTCTTGATTGATGTTTGTACAGTTTCTTTAGAAGCACTAAAAATGCATTTTTTTTGATGAATAATAATTTCATAGTCTTGGTGGGTGTTGTAATTGTAATTACATGGTTTCTTCCAGAGTTTGCTCTTCTCAGGACATTATCTAGTGTTATCTCTTTTATGATTTTTATTATCGTTATTTTTTTACTCTCTTCTAGTTTCCAGCCGAAGGAAGACAGTGAAGCCAAAGTGCAGCCTGTCCTGTGAATTTTTAACTGTGGAAGATTATACTGATTTATTATGGACCACACTATCAGAATTCCCTGGTTAGTACACAGATAAGGAGCAAACAGAGAGCTTTTACCTTCATCTTCGCAAACAATTTAAGCTTGTTACTTAATATGCAAAAAGCATATTCAGTGTAATGCAGTTACAAGTCAGGCAGTCAAAAATGATGTGTAATTCACAGTAATATAAAATATTAATTCATTAGATAGGAGATATTGGCATGAAAATCTGCCATTTTCACTGTCCTTGTGGTGTAATGAGTAGTTGAAGAAGAGCTAAAGGCTAAAATGTTTTTTTCATTTTGAATGGAATAAGTCAGTTTTTTGGCCACCTTTGTTCCATTGGGGACATTTTCCTTCACTTCCTGTCCCATAACCAAAATAGGAAGTGAGAAGAAATCCCTCCTAAGGTAGGGAATCCCTTGTTGTTTCTAAGGTCACTCAAACTAGTCTCAGTTGAAAGATTTCCCCTCTATCCCTGTTCCAGTGACAATCCAAACATTTGGGATTTTCCTTCATTTTTACTTTTGGTGATAATAGTAAACAAGACACAGCAAGAAAACCTGACAGAAGTTCTAATCCCTCTCTACACTATCCAAAACTAAAAAAAAAAGGTTTGCCTTTAGTTATACTTTAAATGCGTAAAAATTATGGTGGTCTGAAATTTCATTTGGATCTATATGATACCAGTGAATATTATTTTGCATTTGACTATCAAGTCAATGAAAATTTGCATTTGCTGTCCATTTGGTGTTAGTTTAAATGTAAACAAATGTAAACAGATTTAAACAGACATGTTTTTTTTAGGCATCTAAACTGATCACCTTCTGGGAAAATTCACTGCTACAAGACATGTCCAAATGAACTTGACACTAGTGTCCATGAGACCTTAATAGCAACAGTTCCACTAGTCAACCTACGTATATTCTGGTGAAGATAGTTCAGGTTGATATTTCTGACAAATGTCTATGTATTTTTATCTTTATGATTGCTACTTATTCTGTGTTTCATGTTAGGTGTGTTGGTGACTTTATGGATCATTGACCGACTGGGGCGGAAGAAGACAATGGCCATCTGCTTTTTTGTTTTCTCCTTTTGTGCACTTCTTCTGTTTCTTTGTGTTGGAAGGTAACATAATATTATTGACACATATTATGATTTTTTTCCATAATCCTTTGCTAAAATACCGTTTACAACATTAATCTTACATTGAAACCTTACAGTTAACAGATTCTCCATAAAATGGTTGTGATAACCACAATGGGGTTCAGAGTAGGATTTCTGCTGCTGTTCCTAATTTTTAGAGAAATGAATTGCACGTGCAGGCCGGAAAATGATCACACTGACACCTGTGCAGTATAACCACGTCCTCATCTCTGTTTATTGCAGGGCGGTGCTTAACCTTTTATACATAGAAAACAATAGAATATACGTCATTATTATGTGAATATGATCATAGTCTAAAAAGCACATTTTGGTTGGCTGAAATATAGAAAGAAGGCAGGAACTCGAAGCTTGAAGCTTGTCCATTATCTCTTCACTCCCTCACATATTCAAGGCCTTAATTGCAAAATCCTCACAGCGCGACGGGAGGGGTTGAAAACATTACTGAACAGACAAGTTAAGGAGGACTGCAAAGCCCAGCAGACAAAATATATATACACAACATATATTTAGAAATAGAAAAAAATAGAAAAGTAAATATGTATAAAATGTATATATTAGACAGGAAACCGAATAGGCATTTTACCAAAACCATCACATCCACATTCCCATGGGACTTTTAAGGCAATATTTTGTAAACCATATTAACCACTTGCCCTGCAGAGGATTTACCCCCCTTCCTGACCAGGCCATTTTTTGCGTTACAACACTGCACCCAATATTTGATCACCTCTGCATTTTTTATTTTTTGCACTGTAAACAAAAAAAGACAGACAATTTTGAAAAGAAAAAAAAAAAACAATATTTTTGTCTTTTTGCTATAAAACATATCCAGTAAAGAAAATTTAAAAAATCAAATTTCGTCATAAATTTTGTCATAAATTTAGGCCAAACTGTATTCTGCTACATGTTTTTGCTAAAATAAAATCCAATACATGTAAATGAATTGGTTTACGTTAAAGTTATAGCGTCCACAAATGGCAGTATATATACTGGAATTTTTATTTTTTATACTAGTAATAGTGGCAATCAGCGACTTATAGCGGGACTGCGACAGCATTCTGACACTGGGGGGAACTCACTAACTGCCACTGACATCCTCAGTGACACTAACACAGTGATCAGTACTAATAAAAAGCACTGACACTGTACTAATGACACTGGGCAGGAAGGAGTTAATATCTGGGGTGATCAAAGGGTTAACTGTGTGCTGTTTCTGTTTTACAAGGGAAACATACTGCTTTGTATTGCTCTATGCAGAGCAATACAAAGCAGCATGTCGGTGTTGACAGGGGAGAGATATGTGTTGTTTACATACAGACCTCTCCCCTGTCACTGTTCCTCCACTGTGCCAGCGGGGAATCTCTGGCCGGGACCCAGTGATCGACAGCTGTAGCCGCCAGTGGCGGCGAGGGTAGGGCAGCACGCGCACACCCCCTGCCACCCTGTAGCAGTAGTTCTGCTATATGGCTGCGGGGGACCGGTTAATAAAATCATGAATTAAATATGTATAGTGGCTGGTACATCATATGCACATAATAATGCAATATAATTATGGTACTACCCTTAAAGTAGAACTGTATGCAAAACTTTTTTTTCATTTTGGATAGAGCAGGGGAGGGTTATAACCCCTGTCAGATTATTTTTCTCCATCTGTGCCTCATTGCAGAGACTTTCCTTCACTTCCTGTCCCATAGTCAAACAAGAAGTGACAGAAAATCGCTGCAAACTAAGGGAAACCCTTGGGGACCCCCAGGTCACCAGAACAAGTGTCTCCATTGGAAGATTTCCCTCTATTACCTTTCTGGGGACAACCCAAAATTTGGTGGTTTTTTAGCTTTCACTTTCAATAATAATGGTAAACAGGACAAATACCTGTCTCTCCAGTATTTGCAGCGGGCGCCGCTTGTCCTTTAGACTTGATCGAGCAGCGGTGGCACTTAAAGCAGCAGTACCTGGTGCGGGCGGGGGGTGACACTCCTGGCAGCAGGAGGCACAGAGTGGTTCAAAACTGTAAGGTTCCCTCCTAGACCTGCTAGAACCAGACATCCAGGGCAGGTCTGACTGTCACTGGTTACAACCAAAGAACAGAGAACCGCCTCCTGCGCTCAAGAGAGGTGAAAGGATGGAAACATTTCCAGTCCTTGAAAACATCAGTACATGCCTTGTTGCCCTCTAAGGGTCTGGGAAAACCCAAAGTGCTCACTGCAAAAACAAGGAAACAGAAGGCGCACCGGCCTAGTGCATTACCTGAGAATTAACTTTATTGAGTTAAAAGGAGATATATACTCACAAACGACTGTGTTGACAAAGGCATATCAGAATCCAAAGCAATCACGTCACCAGGTCAACTTCCAAAGCACAAGAAGACCCTCAAATGGTTGACGCGTTTTGAGGGGCGATCCCCTCTTCATCAGAGCCAACCTGACCGTCACTGGTGACTGTGAGAAACATTTTACTACTGGCATTTTGATTTAGTGGATTTCTGTATGTGACAGACATCAAAAGGTCTTCAGTAAACGAGCTAAAGTGCCACTAAACTCATGACCCAGTGTTCACTTTATCTGGTCTCCCACATTACACAGAACATGGAAATGCAATTATTTTAGTAAATATAAACTGCTAAATACCTTTTCTCATTAGCAGTTATAGCAGTCTTGTGACTTCTATCAGTGTTCAGCAGAGCACTGGTTACTACTTGTAGGAGGAGTTTTCTTTATGCACTAGGAGGATGCAGAACCCCTGACCCCTGTCTGGACAGTGCTGATTGGCACTGTGCTTATCACATGCACTCTCCCAACAAAAAAAAAAAACCTCTCTAGCAATACACACTAAACTGAGCATGTGCAGTGTGTCTCCACACGATATGTCTTATCAGGAGATAAGAGGGGACACTGAAAGAAGGGGAAGATCAGAGAAGGCAGGATCAAACAGCCTTTTTACACAATGCAGAGGATTAACCCCTTAGGTTCCACAGTGAATATGTCAAACATGCTTTACTGCGTATACAGACTGATTTTACTGTTGTGGTTTTAGTAACACTTAACGGAATTTGTTTGACAACAGTAATAGTAGTAATAGTAGTAATTGGGTGCAGCAATCAAACCTTTAATTCCATTTCTTTCCAGATCTCAAAGCAATCGATGATATCAAACTATAGTTTGATTTTATGGTATAAGGTTAAAATTGACCCAGACATGCCTGACATAAAAATCTGATTGCTTTCAAAGACTTTGCTGTAGTTTTTCTGTTTTCAATGTGTTATCTTAACAAATTGTATTGAAGTCTCAGTTTGTTGCCCAGTTTTCTATTTCACAATCAACAGAATTTTGGTGGTCACTTGAACTCCTGGGTGGTAGATTGCTTAGTTTCTGGCAACCATTTGCAATCATATATACAATTCCTGGTGGATGGAAAGTGGTTGAAATGGAAAAGGGCTACATTTATAGAGAGCTTAACCCGATCTGTTATGTTGGCCATACATATGGCGTTTGTTAGACAATTTCATCCAATTTTACCCATCTTTCAAAATGATTAAATCAAATCAAACCAAGGCATCCTACCACTACCAAGTCTGATCATTTCCCAGTCTTGCCAGAAATTACTGGTTCTATTGCATTAACCCTTTGGCCCTTTTTTATTTTCAAACATTGGTTAAAACTGGTTGAATTTCCCTACAGATTTCCATCAGTATGGCCAGTGTCACACTGGCTGTAACACTACCTCAACCTCAAGCCACAATTTAGAGGACAACTTAATTTTATCAAAAACCTAAACCATTTTATGAATTATACACCATCTGTAAGAATATGTCATCATGACCATAAGTATATGTAATGTATGTCCACAATATAGTACAGGATCTCTAGCAAGAGGTATTCCTTTCTGATTAGCCATGATCTTTGTCTTGAATAATTAATCAAACTACAGATATAATGATTCCTTGCTTCCACCATTTGAAATGTACTCTTCCTGCTATAGTATAATATTTCTATTTCTGGCTGCAGCTGACAGCTGTGTTGGCTCTGCTGGATAACGGTCCAGGAGATAGGTGGGTGGTATTTTAACATGTCAGCAGTGGGAGGGGGGGATATTTCTCATCCTACAAGCTTAACTGTATGTAGGTAGTAGCATCCTCCACATGCCTTGCTGTATACTGAACATACACGTAACAATAAAGAGTTAAACATGGATCTGATTGTTCCAAATAACCTTTTCCTTACAAAATTATCTTTCAGCCCAACAAAGAAAAGATTTTGTTGAACTTTCAGATCTAGACAATCAGTTAATGCAGTTGATTTTATTGAAAATATCAATAATGAGCGTAACTCGTGGCTTGGCTTTAAAAACTCTGCAAATATCCTAATGTGAGTGTAGCACTACCCCCTTAGGAGTTGCTGAGGTTTGGGTCCCCCTATAGTCCTGCACAGCCAGGAAACATGCATTTTCTTCAGACCTTGCACACAGGAGACAGTAAACAGTCCTTGAGCTTGTTTTTTTGTGATTTTATTTGGGGGTAATAAACTTGGATGGGGTTGAGAGATGTATGGGATGTCCAAGGGAACTGTGAACTGAGGACAAACTCCTTAGCAACTATGTACAAGTCCATTAGACAGCAACGCCTCTTTGTTGGGAGAGCTCTCCAGCCCTCCAAGTGTACCACCTCAGACCCCAGATGAATTTTCCTCTTCACCCAGCTACCTGAGGGAATCCCTGGGCAAGGAGACCAGCAATCAGCCAGTTTTAAATAAGTAGTCCCAGATGGGGGCTAGTCAGGGTTCCCACCAGAATGCCCTCTCACCTTATCTGGCCCAGGGGGTGTGGGATTACTCAGTCTTCTCTCTTGCAAGCTTGTGGGTTGGTGCCTGCCTTCAGGCCTTATGCTGGGCTGGCGCCTACCCTGCTTCCAAGGCTGTCCTATCTCAGGGGACAATTGAGGCTGAGAGATCCTCCCTTCCAGCTCATGTCTGCAAGTAGGCCCCTCTCCTGGGCCCCCTCCCAGGCTCCACACTCCATCCTTTATTCCATCTTCCACCTGACACTACACCCCTTCCTGGTCAGGCTTGCTCATAGTTCAGGGCTGTGCTAAACCATGCCAAACCTCCTGCTTGGGGATTGGTCAGTGTCTCTTGAGCATGCAGATCAGGCTTTCCTCACCCCCGCCCACTGCCTTCTAGAAACGTTCCAAGTCTTTAGAGCAAGAGGAGGTGTCAGTGAACTGACCTGCAGAGCCCTCAGCCCTGACCTAAAGTTACCTGGCTGACTCATACCCAGATGACTTATTTAGGCTGCTATCCAGCCTCTATCTAAAAACCTAGTCTAGCTCCCCCTGGCTAACTAGAGGGGCGCTACATGAGATATGAGCTCAGTAAAAGTGGCAGTTTCTGTATTAATTAACATGAATAATTAAATTAAAACATGTATACTTTTAAAAAAAAATGTGTATCATAAAGTCCCTTTAAAGTCCTCTACTTTGTACATATTCTTTCCGTTGCTGTATAACAGTCAGGCCCCAGAGGGGCATCCCTGGAATCAGAAAAAAGGGAAGAAAATGTCATATAATATATTAGGTGAACATAATTAGGTGAACAATAAGCTCCTAAAGACGAGGCCTGTTATAGGAAAGTCCAGTCACAAGTATATCAAGAAAAAGTACTGTACTTTAATAGCTTTTTCTAGCTGCTATCATAGGCACTATAGCACAGCTTAGTTATCTCTTGAATTGGAAAGATACTGGTGTCTTTATATAGTCTGCACCACAGGTGTCTAACTGGCAGCCCTCCAGCTGTTGCCAAACTACAAGTCCCATGAAGCATTGCAAGATCGACAGTTACGAGCATGACTCCCAAAGGCAGAGGCATGATGGGACTTGTAGTTTTGCAACAGCTGGAGGGCCTCCAGTTTGACACCCCTGGTCTACACTATGAGCATGACGTAGCAACAGTACTTGCTTCTCTCCCCATGCAAGTTAATGGAAATAGAAATCAGCTTGAAGCAAGTTGGGGCATTTTAGAAGGTGGTCAACTGAGGGTTAAATATACCTGTCAATGACCTGTGACTGATCTTAGGAGCATCTCCCACTGACCCCAAATGCACTCTACATTTGGCCATCGACACAAAGCCAAGAGTCATCAACACATGCCCTAACAAATAAATAAGAAAAGGTCTTTGAAAAACACAAATTCTCTATATTCTAACTAAGTATGAGCCTGACATGTCGTGATGGTATATTGTAAAAACAACAAAAATTAATAGTTTACATTGTGACTATTCAACATTGGCTCTTCTTTTTTCATTTCAGGAATGTGCTCACAGTTTTACTCTTCATAGCAAGAGCCTTTATTTCAGGTGGATTCCAAGCTGCCTATGTTTACACTCCAGAGGTAAGGCATGTCAGGGGTTAGACAGAGCATCATAAACCTAAACCCTTGGAGCCCAACATGTAGCCCACCAGTGCTCAGTTTCCTCAAATAAGGTCTAGAGCACAGTGAGCTGCACACAGAGTGCTTGCACCTTGCTCATTCACTACAAAATAATTCACCAACAACAGTAAAAACAAAGGGGGCATTTGACGTGCTGAGGAGAGCCAGTCCAAGTGTATAAATTGAGGCTGTTGTATATCACAACACAAATAAAAGTCTTTACAGTCCAATAAATTCCAAATGCCTGACTTAGTGGCAGCCAATTCAGCAAGAGCTAGAAGGGACTCTGCATGCACATAAGTAAAGAAAGGGAAACAGCACCTTCTAAGTGCAGCATTAAAGTCAAACTTTAATGCTGCACTTAAAAGGTGCTGCTTCCCTTTCTTTTCCTATGTTCACCAACAACAGTGTTGCTGTGGTATCCAAATGTCCAAAAATGTGTAAAAATTTAATGTTCTGTTTGGGTAGGTTGTTTTCATAGTTTAAGAGAAGTCAAAGTAAACCTCTGCCAGATAAAAAAAAACTGCTGCAAATTAAATGTCCCCCCATTATTCTGCAAGTTGGATGCTCTAGATAACATCTATTTTTACTGTGTGAGCATTAAAAACGTACAAAAAAATATTAGATTGTAGGCCCCTTGAGGGTTAGGGACTGATGTGAATGTACAATAGAGATGTAAAGCGCTGCATAAATTGATGGCGCTATATAAGTAGCTGTAATAAATAAATAAAAGGCTGCACAATGTAATTCAGAACTTTAAAGAGTGCATTTTCAATGTTGTGCTAATTTCTTTCCATGCAAAATCAACTTGATTGTATTTTGATGGTACATTAACGGTTTACACAAACCATCACCACGTAGTATGCTAATAGCAAATTTACAAAAACCAAGCTATTGTGTGGCTACCTGGACATGTAGAGGGCCAAACTTGACCACCACTGACCTAAGCATATTTACTAACTTGACCACCACTGACCTAAGCTCACAGAGGGACAGGCAGATGACTGTAGCGACAGCTACCATAGCAAGTTTACCATAGTTGTTAAAGCCCAACTCCAGGGAAAAAAAATTTGTTTTTTTTTTACTTAAAAGAGTATGGGTAAAGCTTTTTTGGCCATACTTCTTGCCATCAGCTGATGTGGCAGAGCCATCATGGGCTCTGGAAGGATTCCGACCATATTGTCGGGATCCACCCAGCTGCTTGAATGACAGCTGGCTCCAGCTTCCAGCTCGTGACTCAGAGCCACAGCTAGTTGTACCCACTCCATCTCCAGCCCAGTGCTCCAGTGAGGGATGGAGGGGCAGAGCAGAGAGCAGTCACAGCTTTCCGCTCCAAGAATACTTAGCGATTAGTGGTCAATTCTCAGCATCAGAGTTGACATGGAACAACTGCAGCATCACACTGATGATGCAGCTTAGAGGTAAGTATGAGGTTTTTTTATTTATAAACCCCAAACTTATCCTTAAGATTAGTCTAGCATAGTTATGTATAAAACTGATTACACAACATTCAAAGGGCTTCTGGGGATCCTATAAATACTAGTTGTCTTCATGTCTTTTCTGGGCTGTGCTACTGTGGCTTGCCATCTCATAGAGTGCTGAAGTACTGGTCACACACTCTCCCCTTCCTCCCCCCTCACCCACTTGTACAAGATGAGGGAAAAATTAACAGGACCACCCTTGTCCAATCACAGAACACCCTATATTCTGTGAATAAACTAAAAAAATGTTTTATCAATGAGTGATGTGAAAAGAGGAAGAAGCAGGACACCGTGTGACTGCTATTTCTGCACCTTACAAGATGGCTAGTCACAGCAGAAGAGCCTGGAAAATCAAAGCGGACAATAAATCTGTTATAAACTAAGATTTGTAGCATTCTCAGCAGCCCTCTGGATGTAGTGGAGTTTGGCATTAAAGCTAACTAAAAACTAAATCGAATGTTTAAAATGTGAATATACTGTATATTTTGGAGCAAGGAACGGTGTTTCAGCGATTTAACTTTCTTTCTCTTGGAGGAATTATTAATGTTAAACATATTTTTTTCAGCTGTCTGCTTTTGCTAATGCATTGATTATGCTTTAGCTACCTCTAATGTCTTTCCTCTAAGTAAGAATTTTAATATAGACATTTAGTTACTGTCTGCTTTTGTTAATGCATTGATTATGTTTTAGCTACCTCTAATGTCTTTCCTCTAAGTAAGAATTTTAATATATATGTTTTGTTTTATTTCTTCAGGTCTATCCAACAGCTACACGAGCATTAGGTCTAGGAACTTGCAGTGGGATGGCTCGTGTAGGGGCATTAATCACACCTTTTATTGCACAGGTAAAAATGCAAACTATGCATGATGTATGATACAATATAAATATTGCAAACATAACTTTTTGTTGTAGTCAGGCATTTTACTGCAGACACTGTACACTCACATTTTATTGTTCTCAGCAATAAATGTATTAAGTATTTGACCCCTTATCCCCCTGCTTGCCTCACTACAATTTTAAAAGCTGTGGTGGCAACTGCTAGCCTAACTATGTGAAATGGATATATATCCTGCTCAGGACAGTAAGGCAATGCTAAGCAGAAGGTTCCCCCTTAACCCTTTTTAGCACTGTAGTGTACTGTATCTGTGTTTGTCCCTTATATTTTAGTTACAATCCTATTGTGTCTTTTGAATTCTGCTGTTTTTTTTAACCTGCCCCAACCACTGGCAAAGTTCCAGCCTTGCCTGCAGACTACCTGCCAGTTTTATACACTATGTTTTTGCCTGCTGACTCATTAATTTTCCAAAATTAGCCAACTGCATGGGATGTACAAAAAATACTAATGGCAGAAAAAGCAAGTAGTCCATTGAGTTTTTATCAGAAAATAGAACATTGTTTACCCCAATTATTTTTAAATTCATTTACTGTAGATTTAATTACTGCCTCTGCTGGAAATCTGTTCCAAGTATCCACTGCTCTTTTGGTAAAATAATATTTTTTGGCATTACTGTGAACTAGTTTGCAGGTTTGAGGCCATCCCCTCATTTTCTTGAGTTCAACTTCATATTGAATATACTACTCTTGTGAACCTTATTTGCACCCTTAACATATCTGAAGGCGCTCCCTTTTCTTGTTTGTTCTTGAGGCTGTATAGTTTATGTTTTGCCAGTCTCTCTTGATATTTGTTATAATTTTAACTGCTTTCCAACCGTCGTACCTATATGTATGGCCTCGTAGGGAAGCAGTTATACCAGTAACATGGCTGCAGCTGCAAAACATTGGGTATTATATTGTGTTTGTGTGCACTAAAATTCATTAAAGTGTATTTTTTCCTGAAAGTGTTACTAAACCCAGGACCCTGCATTCTCTATATCTGGTCTCCCACAGTACGCAGAACATGGAAATGCACCTATTTTAGTAAATATAAACAGCTAAATACCTTTTCTCATCAGCAGTTACTGTAGATCAGTCTTGTTACTTCTATCAGTGTCCAGCTGAGCACTAGTTAAAGCTTGTAGGAGGAGTTTTAACTCTGCTCTGACTGAGGCTGCATAACCCCATACCCTCTATATGGACAGTGCTAATTGGCCCTGTGCTGATCACATGCACCCTCCCAAAGAATAAAAAACTCTCTAGCAATACACACTGAACTGAACATGTGCAGAGTGACTTCTAGAGCTCTGTACTATCAGCAGATGGATAGGGGAAAGTAGAACAAGGGGAGGATAAGAGAAATCAGGATAAATCTTTTTTACACAATGCAGAGGAGTAACCCCTTGCACACTGAGTATAACAAGCATGCTTTACTGCATATACAGGCTGATTTTACTATTGTGGGTTTAATAACACTTGAAACTTTGCATTTGATAAACTGCTGCATAAATATGGTGTGACATAAACAATTGCAATAGCCACCATTTTATTCTCCAAGGACTTTGCTTTCTGATAAGATATACTGTTTGTGGGTTCTAAGTAATTTTCTAGGAAAAAATGCATATTTTTACATGTATGTGAGAAATATCAGATAAAATACATGGGGGGCAATCTGGAAGCAACACCGGCTAAAACTCAACATCCCCTCTGGGAGTTCATTTACCTACTCGTTACACAAAAGGTCACATGTGACAATATATTATTAATATTTTATTAATATTAAACTTGTGGCGATATTAAAAGAACACTTTAAATAGGGAAATTGTTTGTAGAGGCAAAACTCTTTTTTTTTAATATAGTGTATAGCTAAAAATATCATTGATGTCAGTGGGAACTTATCTGAGAGGTAGAAATTGTTCATTTCACTTCTGGAGGAACTCTAGAGATCCATGGAACCCTGGTTGAGAAACCAACAGGGACACCTGTCTCTGTGACGACTGTCTAAGAGGGGAATACCCTTTACTTTGGAGAGAGTTCCTCTCACTTTCTTTGGCATCTGTGGTTTCAGAAAGTTCATCCAACCGGATAAAGATGGCAAAAAAGAAACTGATAAGGGTTTTAGCCATTCCATTCTAAACAAAAAAAATGTTTTGACTCGCATACCTGTGATGACTTGGGCACAAAAGAAAAAAAAAGGCACGATCTCCATGAGCCTCTCATGGAGTTTCAAACTGTGTCTCTTGGTTTCCACTCTCATTTATTTTAACATTTGCAAATCTATTCTCCTTTCTTTCAGGTGATGCTCGAGTCTTCTATATATCTCACAGTGTTGGTGTACAGTGGTTGTTGTATTTTAGCAGCACTGGCTTCTTGCTTCCTTCCCATTGAAACCAAAGGCCGTGGACTACAGGAGTCCAGCCACAGAGAATGGGGTCAGGAGATGGTGGGAAGAGGAGCGCACAATGATGGAGTCACTCCTTCAAACTCTGGCTCACAAGAGTGACCCCTTCACCTCACCCACTATTACTGACACTCACACATGGGTAGCCTATCAGTCTCACATCTACCATTACAAGGACAAGTTAGGGCATGGACAGTAATGGCCAAACTATTGCTAAACAATAGTAGCACCATTGTAGTGATGGGATAATGGTGTGCATAGATCCTTATAAAAAGGATTGAGAAATGAGCCATTCTTATGCTATAGGCATAGAAGTTGACACAGTTTAATAACTTCTATAGAGTAAACTCAACAGTTAAATAAGTTCTATATGTGTTTTAGCACTAACAAGAGAAAAAGATACAGTACCAGTACTTGAAACAAGTCAGTTACACCAGATGATGTCTTTGAGATCTTGAGTAAACCAGAGAAAGCTTTGGATTGAGCTATTCTAGATATTTCACCTCACAATATGTAGTCCTTAATGAATAATTTTCTAGATTGAGAGATTGGAGGACTGAAGACAACTAATATTGACGAACTTAATCTTTGTTCAGACCTTGTTATAAGCCTTCAATTCTGCAAACTGTGTGTTCTATTCAAATAATTTACTATTGTTCTTTAACTCCTTTTTAGTGTACAGTAGTGACCATGAATTTGAGTTGTAAATGATGAGTGGTTTCAAACATGACAAGAAGTGGTACATTGTTTTCTGACGTGCACAATACTAGACCATCTTTGCCCATCTGGCTTAGAGCATTGTCTGGTGTTAAGAGTTTGCAAGGTTGTCATTTAAAAATTTTTACATTTCTTAGGAAACCATACACTGGAAAAGCTGAAATAACTTTTGTTGCATATTTAGGGTTGAGCAGCTAACTTTAGTTTGGTTTGAACTTTAAAGGGAACCTCTGGTTTACAAAATAACACTTAGATATGCAACAATTCACTTCTATCGTTGTCTATATTAATGTAACATTACACTCTAATAAGAAATTCAGCTGCGTTCTGGAAAACCATTGGAGACCTAAAGTGTATGAAACCCTAACTATGAACTTCCATTTTTTGGTCTGTAAAATATACTATTTTATCCATTTTGTTATCTTGATAAGTTTGAAAAAATACCTGTTCATCTTGCCAGAAATCTTGTAAGCTGATAGCTTTCTTATGCTCTTTGCCTGTGCTGTCATTGTTCTCAATATTTCTGAGAACTGCAGAACCAAACTGTTTGATGTTATCAAGAATAGGTTGGGGTTCTGTTGTCCTACCTTCTTTCTGTTGTCTTGAAGGTTGTGTTAGCTTTTTCATCCCAGGAAAGAAAGTCTGTTACTGGCAGAATCACCAGGTGAAATACAGGATAAAACATTAAATAAAAATAGCACCACCACATCTGCAGACTGCAAGATTTTGCATTTGGCTGGAGAGCACATTTTGTGTTTTGGTTCAGTTATACTTTGAACTAAAGGCTCCAAAACAAATGGTAGTCAACTTCTGACTACCAGTCAATGACTGTATGAATTAAAAAGCCGTGATCATCTCTAACAAAACAACTTTCTTCAAAATTGTATAATGGTGAAATTGGCAATTTGATGCAGTTGATTCTCAAGCCCTGGAAGTACTCAGATGCTCAGGTTAAAGAAGAATGTTAATTCATAGACAGTACTGTTTATTTTCATTGAAAAAGACAGGGTTAACGGGACTTGTTTTATGAGAGTAACAGAATGTGAACCATATCATTTCAAGTTCAGCTTCACACTAGGTTATCAGGATGCTGAGTCCTGTGTGTGAATCATTGCTTGTCTCTGCTTGGCACTGTATGTGTGATGTCAGCAGATGCAACAGCTCAGAAGAATAGTGAATGTTTGTGTGTCCGAATGTACAGACTTTTAATGAATGCATTTCAATGTTTGAACGTCTCTGTGTCAGAAGCTTGTTGTATGATCTCTTCCTACGTCCACAATGCCTTGTTGACTTGGATTTTATCGTAAGTTGAATATTTTATGTTCAATAAACTTTTTACATTAAAAGGGATACAGTATTTAGTGACTGGTTTATTGTACAAGCATCTGTATATGTTTAGTTTTTGACCATGGTAATACTAAAACCTTATGAAAGTACATGGATTTTTGTACCTGCTGTAAAATCCATTCCTGTGCTTTAAGGAAACCGGATTTAGAGACAATTGGGTTATACTGCTGCCTAAGCTGGACACTGGCAAACAAAACAGTGACCTGTTTGGTATAACCCTTCCCATTTCCATGATGCCTCCGTTTTGTAGAAAAGCCACACAAGGAGCAACAGACACAGAGGTGTGGAACCTAAATCCCCTAAGGAACTCCCAAGAAATGGATTTTATAGTAAGCTCAAAAATCCAAATTTCTTTCCCAGTTATTACCACAGGACAGACCATAGAATTTAGAGACAATTGGGATACCAAAAAACAGTCACAAATAACAACAACAAAAAGTAGGACGGCCTACTGCTAAAGCAGCAGCCAAAAGGCTCTTATGTCTGAAACTGTCATCAGATCATCAGATGATGATCAGATAGCATCAGGCAATTGGAATACAGCTGAGGAAGAGACCACAGCCTGATAGAGCTGAGGAAGACTTATAAGATACAAGCATAAGAGAACATTCCAAACTCAGTATCAGGCCCTTGAGTGGGTGCACTACAGGCAGCACTGGAGTTGTTAGTGGATCATAAGCTTGAAGGACCCATTATAGCAGGATTGCTTCTCGTGTGTCTGGGATCAGACAAGTTGCACTGAAAAAGAAGACCAACATAGCTCAATGTGCAAAGCTAAGCTTTAAATACTCACAAACTGGCTGCTGGTAGCAGGAGAGGTCTAGGTAGCAGGAAGTAATCATGTCACTATAGGAGGGCACCAATGACCAACAGATGAGGATCCCATGTCACTACTGAAAAGGAGTAATGGTGAGAATGAATTATCTCACAATAAATAGCATCAAGATAAGTGTGGAGTGTGCAACACTTCACCCAAGGAATTTTGTAAGCACTCATTTCCTCTGTGTTAGCCCTTTCTGTGGTGAACCAGTAGAAAAAGATAGGGTAATAATAGTGTCCAATGGTCTTGTTTTTGAAGTAGCTTCTGCTGCATAGCTTACTCACTAAGTGAGACCTTAGAGACTGAATCACACCAGAGGCTATGGCACAGCTCTGGACCTCGAAAAGTCTCCAAAGATAACTAATTTAGTATACGTAAGTTGGGAAAACACCACAATGAAAAATGGCTTTCAAAGCTAATGCTGAGGATATGCTGATGCAGAGAATCTAGAATGAAGAAAAAACAAAAAAATCTTCACAGTAGGAAGAAAAAATGTTTAACCCCTTGACGCCGCCGTAACACAAATATGCGATCTCACAGAACTGGGCTTTTTTCCGTGGGGCTGCATATTTGCGTACCTGTGTTTCTGTTGGGAGCGTGACGCACAGCGCACTCAAAGCACAAAGACTGCGGTGTCACTGAGAGCCCGGGTCCCATTCTAACGATCGTGACCCGGAACTCCTGACTCCGGGTCACATGATCGCTATGATAGCCTCTAATTGGCTATCACAGTGATCAGCCACTGTACAGCCAGGCCCCCTTGTTTTTTTATTTCTCTCTCTATGAATGGAGGAGAGAGATACATTGTGTCTCTCTAACTCCTGGCGTAGAAGGAAAAAAAATGTTTGCAAAAAAAAAGATAAATAATTATTAAAAAATAAAATAAAAAAATACCTAGATCAAGGTTTGATCTAGTTCAGTGCCAGGGTAAGTGTTTAGGTCAAAGGTCAAGGTGTCAGAAAAAAATTGGTGTCAGTGTGTTTTAGGTAAAAAAAAACAAAAAACAAAAACAAAATGTGCACTATTGTTTCTGGGCTGTACTACGGATACAAACAACAAATAACATACACATATGGTATCGCTGTGATCATCAAGAGCTAGAAAATTTATTTTGGGTTGTTCTTTGATGGTAGGTTATGGTAGTAACAAGAAACACACAGCTAAATTTAAAAAAATGATTTGTTTTACTATATTGGGCCAGTTTTCCTTTGATAATAAAAAAACAAAAATCAGGAGATATCCATTACCATTTACCACCAAATGAAAGCCCAATTTTTCCTGTAAAAAAAAGGTATAATTCATCTGGATGTACAAAGTAGTTGTGATGATATGGAAGGTTTTACTAACACATGTCAATGTTGCAAATTTGTGCTTAGGCATTTAGATTTGTTTTACCCTTAGGCATGTAGGGGTTAAGCTTTATTCAGTAGAGAAAAGATATCCATCCGCCTGGGAAATTAGCAAAAAACATGCAAGACATGAGCAGAGTGGGAGAGGTTATACTCTTTTTATGTTCGTCAAATTCATCCTATAGGTGACAGTATAATAACATTTTCTCAGAATCCTGTGCCCCTCAATGAATGAGAAAGAAAAGGGTTGATAATTATAGCCTTGTATTTATTCCTAAATGTATTTGTATATTACATCCTGCCCAGCAGACACAACGGAAAGTGACAACTGACCAGGCTAAGTAAAACAAAATCAATAACCTTGCAAAATACCACTTTTTTCAACTTATAATTCATTGTTATAAAGCAGGGGTGTCCAACCCCTGGCCCAAGATTGCTCTGCATGTGGCCCAACATGAAATTGTAGACCGAACGGCTAGAGAGATGCCGGGGTTGCCATGTTTGGCTTAGCCCACATGGCCGTGGTTGCCACAGACAAGTGGGGCCCAGGCACATCAGGAGGGATGCTGGGGATGTCATGTTTGCTATAGTACCAGCAGCACATGGAGGGACTCCAGGTAGCCAAGTAAGTGCCACATGGGGGTGCTGGGGTGGGTTGTGCCCCCTCCTAAGAGTGCCCCCTCCTAATACTTAGACAGATGGATTATTGTAGATAAACAATGCATTGAAAAAATGTATTAGTCCCTATGGACGTTTTGTGAAATGTTTTAGTATTAATAAATAAACATAAGTCATTTTAATCAGCTGATGTTTTCAATACTGGAGGCATAATTAAAGTCCCATTTTTCTTTGTTTTTACATATGGATGA